CCGGCAAATTGTTTTTCAGCGCTTATAATGATGAGTAATTTTGAGATTGGTCGAGAGGACGAGGAAAAAAAAACCGAGAGCGAGCTTGAGTAAGCGAGCAACATTCGGAATGGAATTGCTCGTATAAATTCCAGACTTGGCCACACGCGCACACGCGCACACGTGCTCGGACACACGCGGCATTCGTACGAGCCAAGGTAATTCGCTATCCGCTGATCACTGCTACGTACGAGCCTACGTTATTTTACCGACTGAAATAAAAGAAGCCCCGCGAGTCCGGCTGCGTATCGGCCGATGGCCGTTTTTCCCCCAAAATATTTCCCAGATTTTAGCGAATTGCCGGCCCGCTGGAGGCCGCGTTTTCTTTGGCATCCGGCTGAGAAAACGCGCTCTACAACGCGGGGGCAACGGAGAAAGTAAGAAGCGACACGGCCGAAAAAGGACGCGACGAGAGAGAGAGAGAGAGAGAGAGAGAGAGAGAAGTCAAAGAGTCCGCTCGTTGGCATGCCGAGCTAAAAGGTCCGCGTGCCCGCGCTGCTGGCAGTTTCTCGTCTTTCAGCGCGCGGCGGCAGCAGCCCCGCAATTTGCTCCGTAATTATTATATTTATCTTTCTCATTCACTTAAGCCGCTGCTCCGCCTAGACGCGTATGTACCGTATTACCTCTTTTTAATCTTTTTTCGTCGTTGTCGTCGCACGAACGACTCCGCTTTTTATGATAATTCGCCATCGGAGAACTTTACAACTTGCGTCATTGCGAAATCCGCGAATCGAGGACGATGTCTTTTTATTTTCCGTTTGCCTAAATTAATGCATATTTTGAAAAGGCTCATTCTATACGATTATTCCAATGGCAATATCATTATGTTCACACTTGGTCGGTCGGCGAGCATTTCATTTGGTGCCCCGATACCGGAATCTAGTCGCGAGATTGATAATATCATATGAAAATAATCGGCTCTCGACGATGACGCGCGAGCCTCCTCGACAAGAAAGGGATTTGCTTTCGATCCAAGTCGCAACCGTTGGAATGAGACGAGCCACGAGGCGCGCATAGCTGGCAATCAACATATTCGCGTAATTAAACTCCAGCAACAATCCTTGCGGCTAATAACGAGGCGCAGCATCAAATCAATCGCGGGCGAAACGAGACTAAAAAGCCACCAGCGGCAAGATACGTGCGCGGCAATTTTTTGTCGGCGAGAGGTGCGCACTTCATTTAGGGAAGCGAAGGAGGAGGAGGAGGAGGAGGAGGCCAATCGCGGCTAATTAATCTCGGCGCGCATTACGCGCTCACGATAGCGCGCGCAAGAAGGCATTAGTTAACGATGACGCGATGTCTGCCCGGCTACCGGATTCTTTTTTTCAATTAGCGATTTATTGCGGGGGATGCTTTTTCTCGGGTGATGATAAGTCGAGCGAGACTGGCGCGAGCGCCGGATGTAGGTGAGTATAATTAGCAGCTTTCGACGATGGCAAATGTAGGAAAGTGGAGTATTTAAATCTATTGGAAAAATGATTTATGCGCGTGCGTGACTAACTGTTTACTGGCGTTGGCTATCTCGAGGCACTAATGCACAAGCTGGTTTGCCAACCGGGATGCTCATACGGACTTCTTTTCTTCGTTTTTTCTTCGATCGCCTTTGCGTCGCGTGGGAACATTTACACTTGCAGACTTCATTGTGATTTTGTTATTATTATTTATTAAGCTTTTGTTCTTAATTCAAGGATCAGCGACTTGAGAACACGGAGAGTATTTTGTTAGTGTGAAAAACTGTCGGAGAAGGGTACTCGCTAACGACGCGATGGCAAGTATACCCAACCGTGCTATCGCGCATCGGTATAAGCTAGCGAACATCGGATTGTCAATAAGTTCTTCAAGAACAACTTGAATAATCGCGCGCGCGGATAACAGCCCCATAAAAGCGGCATATGACTTCACACTCCTTAGCTCTTCAACCGAAAAGCACTTAAGAGTCCGAACGCGCGTGAAAAGGACAAATTAAATTCTCCTCGCGCCTCGTATCTGCATCTTAAAGAGGTCTCGTAACTCAACCGCTAATTAACTGTATTATTATCTCTTACGCATACGCGTAAGCCCTCGGCGCACTCTCACGCGGCAAATAGCCAAGATAATTCAGCGGTCATCAACGCTGCGCGCGCGTGAAATCCTCTCGAGAGACATTGTTTCGCGAAAATACCAACGCTGGTTTTAGTGTTTCTCCTTGGCAGCAGCGGCGGCGGTGGCGGCAGCAGCGTATAAATCGCGAGGAGGCACGCGCGACGAGGAGGAGAAGGAGGAGCAGCTACGCGACCAAGCTTGTAATTATAATGATAAATATTGTTTTAGTTGGCTCCAGGGGCAAGAAGCTGCTGCTCGCTCGCTCGCTCCTCTCTTTTCAACTTTCTTTCTTTTTTTTTCCTTTGCTCGCGCGTTCACTAGTATATACACACTTTATGGTGGCGCTTCTCTAAATGAGCCGTTTTAACAGCTACGAGAGCCTTTGTGCTCACCTTAGCGGATACAGTGCTTTTTTTCTTCTGGACGGGAGCTTGTAGTCCAGAGCTTTTCCTTTTTATTCGTTTCGCGTGGTTTCTGGAATTTCACTTGTTACGCAAAAAAATATAAAATAAAATAAGTGAGTCGCGGTCGCTTCGTCCGACAATAGAAACGTTAGAAAAAGAAGAAGAAGACGAAGAAGAAGCAGAAGAAGAGGGAGGAGGAGGAGGAGGAGGAGAGGAAGAAAAAAAAAAGGATAAGCAACGAGAGAACAAATGGCAAATCTCTCGCGGAGGGAAATCCGCAAGACACAGCGGCAGCACGCGCGCGGAGCAAGTGTATTAATCAGTGCTGAATGGCCGCGCGCAGCAGCTTTTAAAGCAAACAGATCGTTTGGCGCACACACAGACGCGAGCCTCGCGCAGGAGTTCGATGCACTTCACAGTCGGCACCTCTGCCAGCGCGTCTCCGCACACACGAGCCCCTGTGTGCTGCACTTCAAACATTATTCATAGGCAGCGCGCGCCGAAAGGAGCCGCTGCGAGAGATAGAAAAAGCGATACACACGAGCTGCTCCCTACTACTACTACTACTACTACTAGTAGTAGTAGTAGTAGTAGTAGTAGTAGTAGTAGTAGTACTACTACTACTGCCTCAAAGGGAGAAATTCAGAAAAGGACAGAGAAAAAGCTCTCTCTCTTGCGCGCGCGTGCGCGCCGGCAAAGAAGAGGAAGAATCCGAAGAGGAACAAGAAAGCGGCGAGAGAGCTGCTGCGCCGGAGGTGATGACCTGCTCAAGGCCACCCGCTCAAGCTGCTGCTCTCTCTCTCTCTCTCTCTCTCTCTCTCTCTCTCTCTCGCGTCTCATTGTTCGTTATGCACTTGGTACTGCCGCTGCCTTGCTCCCCTACTCACCATCGCGCGCATACGCTCTTCCTTTACTCTATATATTTCTATGCTGCCATTATTCGCTCTCAATATGCTTTTTCTCGAGCTTTACGGAGAGAGTCGGTGCAGCGCCGAGCGCCAAGGATCAAGTTCTCTCTCCGCCTTAGAGAGAGGGAGAGAGAGCGATGATACCAAACCGCGAATGTATGTGTGTGCGTGTGTGTGCAGCGAACGATGCTAGATTTCGCCAGCTATAAAGCTCTCGTGAATAAGATATGCCATTTAGCGGGGGAGTTGTTCTATGAGACGGAAAATTAGATGATTCCGCGCACTTTTTCTTGCTTTTGCCGCGGATATTTATGTGCTATTCTAGATAGAACGACAGTTGTTTCGGAAGTTTTTCGCGGGGGCTTTTTCATCGATAGATGAGTCGGTGATGGAAAATTGAAAATGATGGCAGTGTGCGAATGTAGCAAGACCACTGTGATTTCGCAAGATACCGGTGCAATTTAGAACTTGATTATGTTCAAAAGCTCGCGATATTCAGAGTCTTAACGATTTCAGTAGCCGCACAGGATTTACAATAATCAGTCTCATTTCCCACGGATTTAAATAAATAACAACGTCAACGGTCAACATAAAAAAAATCTCAACTTTTTTTACATCCACGCCATTATCATATCACAGCACTATCTCTGAGAAAGGTTCCAATTTGGGAGTCAAAGCAGCGCGGCGAAAAAAAAAGTTAATGAACGCCTCGCTAAAAAAGGAAAAGGCCATTGCCGCGTGTGTCTCCAAAACTGCAAAAGATCCAGCCAAATAAGAGGAAGAAACCTCTCTCGAAAATTTCACGAATTTCTCGCCAGTCCGGCACCAACCCACTCAAGCGCTCTGCTTTTATCTCGTTTGCCCAGCGGCAACCCTCGAGGTAAAAAGGAAAAAAAAGCCGAAAAAAAGGAAAGGAAAAAGAATCGGTTTCCGTACAAAGAAAAAAAATGAATCTCGCAATTATAGCTTATATAGAATGCGCGTGAGCTTGCGATTTTCCTGCGCAGCGTCGATTAGCTTCGGCGTGTATAACGCATCGAGCGTGTATTATAAAGTCTACGTGAGAACGTAATATGTACGAGAGCACTTAGCGGCGACGAGTTACTTTTGTTGGTTTTTTCTTTTTCGTCGCAGCTTCTCTTTTATTTATCCGCAGACTGCTCTTTCGCCGCGATCTTTTCGGCTGTTTGATCGAAGATAGTTCGATACTTAGTGCACGTTGCGCCGACTTTCAACGGCGATCGCGCGAATTTTCGTCGACGACCCGAAGAACAAATGCTAATTTTACTCCCGATAGAGTCCGTCAACGAGCGAGTCGGTCTCGGCCGCCACGGTGCCGGAATGTCATTAAACGAAAAGCTTCTTACGCAGCACTCAAAACGTCCACGCGCGATCGCTATCACAATCACGCGCGCATGAGTGATCTTAAGAGCTTATAAGCAGGCGTGCGATCCACCGCCCGAAAAAAAGAAACGCGGACCCGCGCCAATTAAATCGTCCTTTTTTTCTTACACAACTGCACTTCTGTTACAGACGACGACATTGACGAGGAGGAGGAGGAGGAGGAGGAGGAGGAGGAGGAGGAGGAGGAAGAGGAGGAGTTGAAGAGAATCGCAGCTGCTAGCATCACGGAGAATAAGAAAAGGGATAAAAGTGAGTGTCCCCGACCGTTTTTTTGCTCACGTACGCTATATCGTCCCGTTTCCAGATCTCGTTTGCTTTTCGGCGCACGCGCACAGCCCGTTACGGAACAGTAGGCAGCTGCACGAGGCGAGTAAGCTCCCCGCGTGGCGATGTAGGCCGTGAGCGTGCTTTAATTGGACGATAACGAGATGAAGTTGCGCAAGCCGGGAGCAGACAATGCGTTTTTCCGTCGTCGGCGGAGGTTCAATGACTCGGAAAATCGACTCGGCTGTACGCGGGTTTCCCATTTCGCTCGGAAAGCATTTCAAACCCCAGCGCATACCGCAGCAACATCTCGTCTCAATAACACACTACCGCAAGCTCTCCGTCTTATAATACATATATATATATATATATATATATATATATATATATCTGGACGTACATACGAGGTCAGTCGCCTCCTTTTGCACCGATCAAAAGAACCCAAGAATACAGGCGCGCGCGCGCGCGAGCCGGAGCAGGTTGTCCACGACGATAAGCAAAAAAAAAGGAGAAAAGAAAAAAGCAATCGGGAAGAAGACCGTCGTCGTAGTCGTCTCGCCCTTGTTATCGTAGAGAGGCTTATGATCGGTTTGTTTTCGACTTCAAGCGCAAAAACCGGACGCGCGGCTTTTGCCCGCGCGTGTATGTGCGTCAGCGCGGAGACGTTGAACTACATTGTAGCCTCTGCCGCGGACGATTGAATTGTCTTCTTCCTCGGCATGGTTTGGCTTTACCAGGCGAGCAGGCTTTTCCTTATCTTTTCTTTCTTAAATTACGTAAAACTGCAAAACCACATTTTTCGAAAAAAAAAAAAAAAAAAAAAAAAAAAAAAAAAAAAAAATAAACAAAAAACGAATATCCGTACGCTGGTCTCGAATCGAACAAAGCTCCGCGAGGATGCGCGTCGCGATAGAGTAGAAGTAGTCGGCCGCGAAACGAAAGCAAAAAGCAGCATGGAGCACGGAGTCACGTCAAGTATATATAGGCGTGCGTATATCCTTTTCGCAAGTCGATTTATGACGTTAGTTGGCAAAAGCCCCGCTCTCGCTCTCCATTGTGCCGTTTCCGCGTTCGTGCGCGAAAGCTTTTGTGATTTCTTTTCGGTTGCGAGCTTGTGACCGAGGCTGTGTCGATTTATCGCTTTGTCGCGGTGCGTTTGCTCGGGATCGCCCCCGTAACAATGCGACTCCTTTATTGGACTAGAAATATCATTGTTTGATATGATGTTGCGAAATATTTTCGTTCCTTTGGGGGATACGTTTGGTGCGACCGGTAGATGCCTTCGAAGGATAGATCGACTCGAACGCGAGGAAATACTTTGCGAGAATATACTGGATAGTTTGAATCTCCTTTTTCTCTTAATATTCAAGTTCATTCGTACTTGTAGTGCTCAAATTTTCTTTAATTCTAGCTGAATTAGATTAATTGGCAGTTAAATTAAAAACATTCATATAGAAATTTTGAGATACGTTTAAAAAGAAATTGATGCAAATTATAAACCTTTTCTTTTTCTCAAGGTATATCCAACTACAAAATGATATAAGTGTTGCTAAGAAAAAGTAGTATTGATCCTCACAAAGACAAACCATCAAATATAATTATAAATTCTCTACCACCCGAGAGAGAAACTGTTTCATCGACTAAAAATCGAAGAAAACCGTTAGCACAGCATTTTTTTGTCGCGCATAACAATCACGAAGCCTTTGATTTTCCAATCAAGAGCGAAAGGATAAAAAAACTAAAAACTTTTCCTCTCCTCGCGTTCGCGGCAAAAAAATTGATCGATCGCTGTGCGCGCACATAAATCATCGATCGTCCTATTAACCAACAATACTTGAGCTCAGTGAGCGCGCATCTCTCAAGTTAATCAAAACGCAGCTCATATTTACGACGGCTGTGAATACTCGGACGCCCAATCAAAGTGAAAATCTAGTATTATGTATTCTCTCGTTGCGCAATTCACACTCTCACTCCTCCGAAAAATCTCGTCCCATATTGTCTTCGAGTAAGTCGAGAGCGGTGATAATTATACGTTTGCGATGCGTTACGAAAACGTCGCGTAATCGTCAATAATGCCGCGGTGCCTGACTCAAAGCCTTTTTTTATATCGATGACTGATGACGAAATGCATTGATGGGCGTATCAGCGTATACGCACACGTTAGTTTGTTTATCGTGAAATAACAAAATGCTTCCGAGGGATTCATAAGGTCGAATCATTTTGGATTTCGAAGAGGCGTTCGAATAGACGATCCGAAATCACATTTTACTCGTCGCCAACGGCGTGCAACGTCAGCTCGCAATGAAAAATTCGCCCGCCATGCGCCAGATAATTTTAATCCTCTGTTCGCATTTCGACCTGACCCACTTTGCCGCGCTTATCTTCGCCTTCGCGCGCGCACGCTCGCGTGAAAAATATTGAGCCTGTTCGGTGGCGATTACGAAGAATATCGGCCGTTCGTGGGTTAAGGTTTCGGCATCGCAGATAGAAACTTACCTCCGCCATTATCGAGAGCTTTCGCTTCGACGAGCGAGCGGAAAAGCTTTCCGCCGAAGGTTCTCGCTCGCAACGCGTTTTTCGCGAACGCCACCCACGTCGAAAGGGAAAAAGTAAAAAAGCAGTACTTTCGAAACGCACGCGCCCGATGCAGACGTACATATACGCGTTTTATCTTAATCGGCCGCGCGCAGAAAAAGCACCTCTCGTCGAGGCTATCGGCTTCAAAACATCGTAACTTCTTTCTCAATCGGCCCACCCAAAGCAAAACCGTTTCGGCCGATACGCACCGGATTTGCCGTGGCGCGAAAAGTATTTACCGTTGCAATTACAACTGCGCAAAGTGGGCCGGTAAATTAGCCGAGCGGCGCGTCGCCGCGTCGAGACTGCGATAACAATAACCTTGGAACGCGAAGCACCAGCGTGGGGGCGCCGAGTTCTGGGTTTCGGTGTTGCGCGCGCGCGCGCGACCGGCACATCGGATGTCCCGTTGCCGCGGTGCAGCCCGGAAAAGCAAAATCAGCGCGAGACTCATCTACCGCGCCCGTCGCAGGGTCGAGAGTCCTCGGGATCGGCTTGCCACGTGTGTCCGCCCCGCAAGGATAAACGCCGCGTGCCGGCGACCCGACTTGCGTACCGCGCACGTGCGCCAAGATAACGACTTAAAAGGATTCAACGCGCACATGCGTCGAGATGTCGCCGCGGCCCTTATCAAAGGTGTCCGCTTCTTCTTTTCTTTTCTCTTCTTCTTCTCTTCCATTTTCTTTTCTTTTCTTTGTTTTATTTTGTTTTATTTTTATTTTGCGCGTGCACGAGATTTTCATACGACGATGTACCGTTAAACACACTCCGCTCGGCAGTACGCTCCTGCTGCGAAGTTTTCGAGCTTCATACGCGGTTAAATGAGAACGGGAGACGTACGAGTATCGGCGGATTCTTCGTCGTTTTTCGAGCTTACGGCAATGTACTAGCAGCGAGGACACTAATTGTTCGTGAGAGTTACGCGATGAGCTGCTATTGTCCCTCCAACGCTTCGACTAAATTGAACTTACGAGTTGCAACAGCCTGGCTAGATTGAAAATCTCATAATACAATGTTGTTTATCGTTTCAATTAACGCGGTCAGATTAGTCTTCGACAAACGTAACTCCCGGAAGAGATAAATACGTTCGATGCGCTCGACTTGAATTTATATGAGTTGCCAAAGAACGAAAATTATACCACATGCTCGAGTGTAATGCACTCCCCCTCCCCCCATTTCAAATAAATATACTTACGATACGACCAAACCAATTTAATTTCATCGTTAATCCGCGACGTATTTCGCTCGTAAAAAGAAAGCTGATAAAGCGCTCCGATTTTTTTTTCTTTTCGTCGTCTTTCGCAATAATGTTCGCGACTTAACGCGCGTATCTCGTAATATGCAACAGAGCCTTCAACAGCTTAATTTATAACAGATAAAAGCCTGGCATGCACGCCTACACGTCACCTTAGATAAATTCAATTCCTTACTTATGAAGCACGATACAAAGTGCTGCTGTATTGCCTACGTTATGCCAGATATTGCTTCTGGTATTTAATTTCGTTTTCTACCTCTCGTTTGCGAGTTGCCTCTTGTTGCGCTTGAGATATCGCTTTTGTTGCCCGGCCCCGTTATTTATTGCGCTTTCGGGCGACGCGTCACGTTCGCGCGGCGTTTTGCAATTTCGAAAGGCGCCTCTCCGTTGACGCACGCGCGCTCCCTTCCGGCCTGCCCAAAGTGCGCGAATGCCACCGGGGACGGGACGACTCCAAGGGAAAGTGCGCGTCGTCGCTAATCACGCGCGCGCCGATAAGGCCCCGAATGGAGATGGCGCGAATCGCTTGATGAACGCACGTCGTCGCGTCTCTCTCGCCGATGGCGAGCTTCCCACGCGGCGGGTCGCTCCCATTGTGTTCGCGCGCGACAAACCGGCAACGAAGGCATGACGATTTCGAGTTTTGCCATTATGCGCCGACGATATTTGCCGGCCGATAACACAAAAATACAAGCCGAACAATGGCAAATTCAAGTAGCAGGGTTTTATCTGATTGTTATGCGCGCAGTGCGACATTTTCAGCATTTTCAGAATGATGATTTCGACTTTTCTGAGATACTGAAATAAACAGTGTACTGCTTCGCAAGCCCTTTTCATAATTTTTTCGTTCGCTGATAGAGGGTTCATAGAGGGATTTATGCGAATGCAATATTTTCAGCTGTAGGTTATTTCATCCGCTAAGTCAATTGAACAATCCCAAATCAGTCAATTGACGTCATACTTTGGTTACGCAAAAATTAAATTTTTCGCTGATGAAAGTATCTTATTTTCAATCAACTTTCTGAATGAATTGATGAGGTTGTGTGTTTTACACCCTCGTTAATCACGCAAACAAATATCTACTCGGCAGTAAGCATAAAAGTGGTAAAAAAACCTGGCAATTGATTCGAAAACTAATATTGCAGATCGAAGATTCGTTAGAACGCTTACAAGACTACATCTGATTTATAGAGCCGGTATTTTAAAACAGAGAAAACTAAAACGAATACACGCCTGTCCTAAAAACGATTGCCGCCGCTCGGTCTAACGAGCTGAAAAACGTAAAATACCAATGAATTTTTGAAATTATATCTCGCCAAATTTATGACATTTGCCAAAGACGTCTGCGAAAGAAAATCAACGAACGAAATAAATCACTCGCGCAAAAAGTAAATAACCCTGCAATTAACACCTCAGCAACTCATCCAATCGATAAATAATCCAACGTACATTACAAAATCCCATATAACGAGTAATACGTCGATGTTATAAATGTCCACTCCCATGCGCGATAAATTTCACCTGGACTCGATCATCCGCCTAATACTGACAAACTATCGTATACACATACACACACACGCTGCTTCCACGACTTTTTCGGCACACCTCTTTTTTTTCTTTTTTTTTCTTTGCAAACTTAAACACACGGATGAATGATCGTTTCCGCGAGTATCAGCGTGGGCGGCTATAATTTGGTTTAATTTGTCGCCCACGAGAGAGCAATTTTAACGGTTGTTTGGTATGATAGCGGATTTATCGTCGAGTTTTATTCGCCTTCATAAAGTTATATATCAATTGTATACACGCATCGGATAGAAACAATGTTTCTTTACGGGCGCGCGTGATTTATTGGGAATGCGAGCTTTTGAAGCACAACCGTAGGCATTTTGTCACACCCACGCGCCCGCGTCGAAGTACAAATGTCGGCAAATTGAATATTTCCGCTGGCGAAGGACAGTACTACCTTTGAAAGTGGAACTTGGTGTTCGGCAGGATTCGTTTGGTACAGATACTGCCAGCTTCAACGCAACGTGACCCGTGCTCTTTCTGCAGTGAAGCTTATCGATCATTCTACGGTAAAATTGTGTTACGACAACGATCGAATACGCGACTCTTCGCGAAGAATATATTTCAAGTGGAGCTAGTTTATGCTCAGATTTTCTAATACACACTTATTCCATTTCTGCGGTGAACCGAAGGAGCGTCTCGTCGGGCAGTTTGTCGTCGAGCGGAGGCAAAGCCGGCACGACTCATTAACGCGAGAGAAGCGGTCTCCTCGGTCAGCCGTCGAGAGGCCAAAAAATCAGTCTCTTTCGCTTTTCGGGATAACATCAGGAGCCAATTAGATAAGAGCCAGGTGATCGCTGGCGCGTCTATAAATAAAGTTTTGCGCGCGGCGGCGGCGGTGGCGTGTACATAAATCGCTCGTGAGACAATAACCCCTCTTGCTCGGCTCGGTTCGCCTCGCGCGTTCCGCGAAATTGACTTGAATATGCCCCCTCGCTCCCTTACGATGCCAAAGCCCCGATATGCTTGTGTTTTGCGTGAGCGAAGCTGACCATATTGAGGAGGGAGGCAAGGTCGCCGCTATCCGATCGCGCGCGCGCCGGCGAAAAACGCTTTTACGCTATTAATTATTGACCCCCCCTCCCTCTCGTCCCGTCCCTCGAACCACCCATTATACCCGTACTGCGCGCTGTCGCTATTGCTGGCTGGATTTCAAACGAATGATTTCGCAGCTTTTTGCCGATGACGACGATGAACGATGGGATCGAATTTTAGCTGAAGACCGAAACGTGCTCTCGGGATGTATTTCGTTGCAGTGGAATAGAGTGGTCTTCTCATTTTTTTTTATTATCTCGAGCGACGCTGTTGTACATGCTCGCAAGAGCGATCGACAGCGAAACGGAAAAATTTAAAAGAAAAGATAAAAGGAAAATCTGCAACGCTGGGTGTCGTGCGAAATATATGCCCATCGATCAAAAAATTTCCAGTCCGCCATCTCTTCGTAAAAGGTTTCTCTACGCCGTACTCGAAGAATAAAGGAGTCCCATGGCTTTCTCGAGAAGTTGAGCAATGACCCAATCAAAGCTTAGCTCTGTATATTCTTCGCCTCTTTTTCTTCCGATCGACAATTAGCGTCCGACAGCGCGCGTCGATTGTGTACACTTGTCCCGCAGGCTCTCCGCCGCCTCTTTTGTTATTCAAGCTCTCCGCCGCGTTAAATCTTTTTCTATGCGAGCTATGCGCGAGAGGGAAAAGTCATGACTTGCTCTCGTGGCTTGCTCTTTTTTTTTCTCTTCTGCGATTTTCAGAGGCAGATAAAGAACGCTCTTGCCCGCCTGCCTGGCCGTGCGCGCGCGCGCGAAGGAAAAGTTTTTCACGCTAGGGAAGAAGAAGAATGGCAAGAGAGCAGGTGCTTCGAGGAGTTTGACCTTTTCCACCGCGAGGCCACATTGCTCGGCTTCGGTCGCAATTACAGGTCAAAATTAAGGGGGGGGGGGGGGGATAAATAAAATCAAGGGAAAAGAAACTAAGCTGAAGGAGAGAGAATGAAATATCGGAGAGACGTCGCGCTCGTCATACACACGCGGCCGATTTCTATTCTCCGTCTCGGAGGAAAAGAATAGAAATATAACGAGGCAGCATGTTAAAAGATACATCGGATAAGACGACGACACTCAAAATACATATATACACGGCGAAGAATGTGACAAACTTTCTACCCCGTCGGGAAAAGAAGTAAGCACGCGCGCGACAACCCACTTCGTGTGTGTATCCCTTTTTGTTTTGTAGCTTTCTCGTTTGCAGGCTTATCGTAGGGCCGACTTTCATCCTCTCCTTTTGTGAGAGAGAGAGACGCCCGAATTGAAATGTAGGAGAGTATACGTAAGAGAAAGCTCGTCGCACCTGCGCGATATGCGCTGCGCCGAGGTCTGTCGGATATTAGGACCATTGTCGCGAGACCCGTTTGCAACGGATGCGCCTCGCGAGTCCCCGATATTCGTGTACGGGGGGGGGGGGGGGGCAATATTGGAAAGTTGCGTGGCAACCGTCGCGGTTGCGCGCGAATTCCCGATCGGTTTTTGAAATTTCGCTCTCGTTTAAACGGCTCTTCACCCGCGCGATCGCGTTTGGCCTGAATAATCCCTCGCCTCTTACTTTTCGTTTTCTCAGCGACCGCGCGTCCGTCGAGGGAATCGGCGAAAGCGCATTTTCAGCTTGCGCTCGTAAATAAGTCTTTCCCCGGGCGCCCGCGCGCACTTCTTTTAAACGTCGATTTATCAAGGAGTCGCCAAGGCCGCGCGCGATGGGTTCAGGGTTGCGCCGACCGTTCGCGGCAATTTGTCTCCGCGGAGGAAAGAAAGAAGCGCGACTATCGCGTCCCTCCCGTGTGACGCACGCGAAGGAGATCGCACCGACGAGATTGCGAACATTGGGACGACGAGGATACTACACGTGTCGCGTGTATCCCGTCTGCTCTTTCCCCCTTTCGGCGTCGATGATCCGGGACGCATGCCTCGCCTATATTGTTGCTCGACCAGCGATTAAGATTAATGTCTCTTGCGGCCGCGCGAAACGCATTGCGCAACTGCCAATAATCCGAGCATTGCTTTCCTTTAATTTTGCGATCGAATGAGGATTGATGCGATCGGTAAGGAACGAGATATGTGGCATTCGATCGAGCCCATCATCCTCGCGCGTTTATCGAAAAATCACGGCCGTCTTGAAGCAGCAATCGACCAGAAATTCCAGTGAAGCTCTTAACATCCCAATCTGAAACCCTTCCATTCGTGCCGTTGATTGAGCAACAACAATGAAAGCTCTCGACGCATTACGCGCTGGCAGGATCCGCTGCCGAAAGCCTAAACCATCTGATCGACAAGTCATTATCGCCGAGCGCGAGCTAACGGATCTCTCGGAGAGAAAAAAAAATGCGTTTAGAACAGAAAAGCGTATGGAAGCCTTTCTCTCCGATCGTTAGAAAGCGCACGATTTAATTCCCCATGTGTATGTTTTGTCGTTGTTCGTCCATTAAGAGAGCCGTTACTATTGTCTATGATTAAATTGAATTACGTGTACGTGGATGCCTATGCTACCGCGTGTGATCGGAATACCTTCGTTTTTTTAGGACGGAGAGAGAAAAAGACAAAAGGTATTGAAATTGATCCGCGCACGTGACTGATGGTTTAGTGTCGGTAAGAAATATATCGTTTATTAGTTGAACCGGTGATCTGTGATCTCGGAAACGTTGGATGGTTTCGCTGAGTAGGAGTGGCTGTTTTATTATAAGTCATTTATTGCGTAACGTGAAATTACATTCAAGCAGAATTACAATCATTTCGATGTAGCCCAACCTTTCCATGCAGATGAGTCTTGAAACTTTTCGCTCGCAACCGTGCCGCAAAATTTTATACCTCGTAACTGGCAGGTTGTAAAATAAAAAAAATATATATATATATATGTACATACACATGTGAGAAAGACACAGACAGCACAGGATTGCCAGCTGATGTTTGTTTTCCGCGATAAGATCGTCGTGAATCACACGCACGCGCCGTAAATTGCCATCGAACGAAACTTAGAAGGGAGATGCGGCGCTCGCCGGTGATCGCGAATTAAGCGATTTTCGCGCAAATACGTAGCCCGGAGAGAGAGAAAGCAACAAGTAAACAAAATCTTCTCGTCGCCTACGCGCTTTTGCATTCCGCGATTTGAATGCGCATTTATAGGTCCTCCCTGCACGAGCGGCGGCGATTACCATCGCGAGGCACGGCCACACGAGTCTCGCGATATATTTTACGATGGCTACCGCGCGAGTATACGCGTGGGTGGGATCTGCGCCGCGCGACGAATAAATTTTATGCGCCTGGAGATTCCATCTGGCGATGACGGTTTGATGCTGGCGATGACGACGTACGGATTTTTCACCTGCAAAGGACATCTGAAACGAATGACGTTTGCATAAATGTGCCGTGAAATTTGAGGACCGACACTTGGTTTTTATTAAGAGTACGAAGGTGGTCTTCGATCTTCTAGAGTTTCCTTATGACGTTAATTAAAAAAAAAATTTGCAAATGCGAATTTTTTTTTTTTTTTTTTTAACAAGCTTCGCTCTAGTGCAGTCTCCGATTAAATCAAGTTTAGATTAGTGTGACCTTAAGCAAAGTTTACGGAAACTCATCAGTACAAATAAAATTTTGATGTGCTCTGTACGAATGAAAATCAGCATGCACGCGGCTCACCTTTACTTGAAATGTTGGCGACATCTACACAATCGCGGCATCTCGTACGTCACCAGTGGCATTGGCGACGTTTGGTAACACAGGTACGGTTGCAGTGGTATCATTAGGTAAAACTGCATCGGCGATGGTGACGTTAACGAGGGTAATGCTGGTGGCGAAAACGGTTCACCCGGCAACGGTCGTGGTAGCGATAGATCTGGGAACGACAGCACTTGGTAAGGCGATCCCGACGGCGACGAGGGTGGTTCGGCCGACGTCATTGGCGGAGGTAACGTTGGTGGCGGCGACGTTGCCGTCTGGGAAAACTGCTCCGTCGACGATCTCGAGGTGAGCGACGACGGTGGCGCATCGAACAGCTTTCGCAGCAACGGACCGAGCGACCTTTCCGACTCGGCTTCCGAGGACGTTGAGTCGGGGCACGGTGACGGCGGCAGCGACACTTTCGCCTGAACAACGAGCGTCAGCAGCATCGATTTTTTCGCCGACGCCGACGCCAGCCCAGCCAGCAACAGCGCAGCTAGCAGGACGATCCTCATTTCGCGAGTTTATTACTCGTACTGACGATAGATTTGGGAAAAATCGAGCGTTTTATACAATCGCGGCGGACGATATCCGAGCACGTTCTCCCGATATGATCATTCCTCGCGTAACAGCCTTGTCATTTTACGTGCTACTTTGCAGCTCGTTATCCGAGCTTTGTCCGTGCCTCGAGCCGAAAGACGGAATGCGAAGAGAGCGAGTCGCGTAGCGACTGTCACGCGCGCGCGCACAAATCAAAGTTCTCCGGGCGCGTCGCCGGGCACCTGAAAAATCCAGAAGCAGAAGCGGCAGCCGGGGCAGTTCGCGCCGCCCACCAATTATTCAGGCCGGCTTGTCGTAAATCAGCCGTTACGGCCGCAGCCTCTCTTCTTAAAACTCGAGCGCGTATCTCTCCTTGGCGCCTGCGTTGCGTGCCGCGAGAGAGTGAAAATCCGCCGCGAATCATATTTCAGCGCGCGAGAGGCGCACAATGCGCATTAGACTTGCATGCCGCGGGTCGTGATCGTCGTGCGGCGCTTTCGCGCGCCCGCGGATATATTATTCTAAACTTGAACTTTGGCTCGAGAGCGTGGGTACGTTATATTTAGGTCGGCGACCATAGCGCCGCGGATGGGAGGCTCGGATGATTTGAATTTTTCGCCTGTCGTCGTCCTCCTCCTCCACCTCCCCGCGCGCGCACTCGCAATTCACGTCCGAAGAAGAGTGTCGCTTTGTCTCGCGTCGAAGGAGGATTACCGAGTGCGGACGTTCGTAAATTATGTTCTCCGCCGTCGCCTGCCTTCTTCACCCCGCCCCTCCCCGCCTTTTCCTACGGCGCCCCGTTCACGGCTATTGATTGTATGGACTCGCGTCGATCGTATAATTAAGACCGACGTCTCGGCGCGATTATCATAAACGTCGAACGAAGTGTGCCTCCGCGAGCGCGCGCCGCCGAAGCGATACGAGTTTGCGCGGATCGAGGTCGACAATCCTAAAAGTCCGCGAATCCAATTGGCGATGCGCGCGGTGTATGTCTTTATCGCGGGCTTTTCTCTTGTCGATCGAGCTTACATTCGAAAGCAGCGCGCCATTGAAATAGAAAACGTACTTATATGCTTCGACTAAAACCTCAAACACGAGCAATCGGCTCTTCCCCTTTGCGGTAATGATTTTTGCGCGGGCGGCGTCTTTTTTTCTTCTTCTTCTGTTTTCTCGTGCTCCGCAAGCTGAACTATTCCGATTCCAGCGCGAGCGAGCGCAAGAAGCCTGCAAGTACAGACAAAAAAGTAAATAAACTAGAAGAATCGGTGCAGCGCGGAGCATGAGCAGCCGATGACTATCTCGCCGGGGGGGTCATTAACGTCGTCGGGTTATTAGCGATCGTGCGGATAGTCGAATGGCGCCAGGCGCCCCCTGATCCTTTCCGAGAGATAAGTAAATTATACACACCGTGGATCGGAGCTTTTTCTATACTCGCAGAAAGAAAAAAAATGGAAACAATTGATGACGATAATAAAGCACGGCACGGGAGGGGAGGAAATTCGGATGGACGTATGCGCGATTCGCAAACACGAGGTGTCACGTTGACCGTGATATTGTTTCGCTTGAAGGCTTTGCGATCTTCACCGACGCGATTTTTCGAAGGGCAGTTGTCGAGCGCACCGGACGAAGTGTGCGTAAAGCGAAGACTGCGCGCGCGCGCGCGCTCGTGTCCCGAAAATAACGACGCGCGCCACGAGAGCAAGTCGAAAGCGAGCCGAGAGTCTATAATTAAAAGGCCATAACAATGAATTACAATCAAAGCGAGCGCGGGGCTTTCAAAGCGCGTTGATATCTCACGCGCGAGAAAATTAATTCGCCACGCGCTGATGCAATTACAGTAGCTTGCGTTTCGTCGCGCCGCACTTTGTCACACGTGCCCGCGAAAATTATAGATATATACGCGCGCGCCGCGAGTGTGCGCAGCTCGTAATTATGTTCGCGCGCGCTGGCTAAAGGATATTTCTAGGAGATACCCACTGCGTATTCGTATATAGCTTGTCTGACAGGCATACATTTTCGAGCCGATTTTTCGCTGCGTCGAGCTTTCGCGGCTGTAAGTCACTCTTCGTGTGCATTTTAAATATGCGAGTGTCTATCCCCGGCGCCACTGTCTTTACACCCTTACCGGGCGAATATTGTTTTTGATTTTTCTCTCTCACTCTCTCTTTTCTTTAGTTTCAGATGATTTTAGAATTTATTTTTTATTCTAGCTGTGTATCCAGGCATATTCCATTACGTTTGAGCGATGAATAATGTTCAAAAAAATAGACGACTTCGTATGCTTTTTCTAGTCGCGCATTTGCAAAGAAAAGCAAATAACAAAAGAACCAAATAAATAAATAACCAACCATTGATTCATTCTTAATAGCGAATGAAGGTAAAAATCATTCAATTTTCTCGTACGTGCGTGTAAAGTATAATAGACGATGCTTTACAGCCGGAAAAAAGAGGATAAGAAAAGTGCTTTGTAATTTATCGCAAAATATATCTGTGAGCGCGCTTACCGCCCTATAACTTTGCATGCTGCGCGTCCACGCCCAAAAATAAGTTAGAAGAAAAAAAAAAAAAAGTAGGTGCACCAAAGTTATTCGGTAACCGAGTTAGTTATTAGGGTACTTAAACTTGCTTACCGCTCACGTGGCACGCAATGATTTCGACAATTTATAACCTTAAAAAGTAAATAAGATTCTCAAGGGAGCGGGAGAGGAGGGGGAAAAAAAGATGTATAATATATAATGAACGCGCACGAGCGCGTAACAGACTTTACTACGGACGTAACTTATATTTTTACCATACGGATGCTGCACTCTTCGCCCTTTAAAATAAACGGCTGCACGTATGAAAACTAATATACTCGAGAATTTTGATGGCGTTTTAAAAAAATGCGCACACATATACCCAGCAATTTATTTACGCGTAACGAGTCTACTGGCTCTCTTTTTGCGTCGCTCCTCGCGGCAGGATTTTTCATAAGAGATTTTCACACGCTGAAACATCGGCTGCTGAATTTTATTCCGACTTCGTACAACCGAACGTATCACTCTTCTCGTGAAATCTTCCGTTCCTTACGAGTACATTTTTCCCCCGAATATGCACGTACGATTATCTCTCGCTAATTGAAACGAAGTGAGAATTAGGCTACCGAAAGAGGTATTCGCTTTGCGTAACAGTCGACAAAGAAAAGAAAAAAGTACAATTTTACGGTTAACCGAATATCTGGCATCTGTTGACAAAAGCTGATACCAGCACGAAACTACCAGGAAAAGTTTTAGCGGCAGCAGGCGCACATATGGCACTTTCGTGACGCTACGTATCTTTTTTTTATATTCTGTCGCAAATCAGCTTTTAATCATTGAAGCGCTGATAAGGTTTTAGTGTTATTCGAGCCCGCGATATGCTAAAGCGTTAGGCACGTCGCTTCGATTTCGCAAGAGAAAAAGGAAGCGTCGTGGCAGAGTTCTCGGTGTCTAATGGTTGATTTATTGGTCGAGTTTTTTGTTGCGCTTGTGCGGAGTATTTGCAAATGTTACTGACTGCATCCGAGGCTAACCAGCTCGCCAAAGTGGACGATTTTCTTTTTCGGTGCGAGTGAGCAACAAAGAAATACCAAAGGTATTTTTCCATTCGCAATTGGAATTTTTCTTCCAACTTCCATCTTGGATATCTCGCTTGATTGCGAAACCTTCGATAAATGTTTTTCATTCTGGAAAAATCTCATCGCAACACTTGCCAATAAATTTTTCAAAAGTCTCGCGCGTTCTATCTCAAATACACATTTTCTCCATGTCAATAAAGATAAACTTTCCGAGCCTCGGGAAATTTACAATGTTATCTGAATTGTTGAAACATCAGTTTGTGCAAGGTTCAACGCTTAATGTATTCATACAATTTTTTTTCTCGCAATATAATGACAGTTAACGCGTGTACTCAAACATTCGCTGAATAATAAGGCATAGTAATAAAATGCTATCGGCTCACATGACTGCAGAAAAAAAAATGCAACTAGTACGCGTTGTAATTAACATCTGCAAAGTGCACGCTGAACTCACATTTCTCGCTGCCGCAAATCAAAAGAAAAACAAGGAAATACTCTAGATTCGATCGTTAAACAAAATGAAAAAGAATCCAAACAAGCGCTATCAGTTAAATACCAAGAAAATGTGGAAATAATAATCCGCAGCGAAACTGGCAGTAAAATGCTAATACCTCAAGCCGTGCTGCGGCGATTATCGGCAATTGGGAGGCGAGATGCGCGCTGAGATATGATGTATACGAGAGAACCACGCGATGGCTCACTCGCGATTAGGAGCCGTGATTTTCATAAATTATCATATATGCCTGTCTGCTTTTTCTTTTCCGCGGTCAATTTTCCTACTACCTGTTGTTTATATCGGAACGAGAGAACAATATTGCAGGGAGAGATGCGTGTTTCGAGTGCTTCATTAATTTTTTCTCTATGTATTTACACGGCCGCACGGCAATATTACGTTTTCAAGTTGTGCAGTTTTTTAATTTGCATTTAAATTAGTAGCCAATTTTGATTTAATATTCAAATTAAATATCTACGCACATGTTTTCGAATGATATTTTCAAAAAGACTCCTAAAGAAACAGCATCACAACAACGTACAAGTCAAAACTTATTAAACTTTCGCATACTCATAACTCCACGCTTTCTCTCTTTCTCTGTCAGTCTATCGATCACATGGTTAAAATAGTTGAACCAATCAAACTTGCCGTCCATTTAGATTATTCGTCCCCTCCCCTCTCTCTCTCGCTCGCGAAAGCTCTTTCAAGTCTCTAAAATAATCAGTAATTTATCGAAAAGCGATAGAAGCGCGCTCGCTCGCTCGTTCGCCCACTAAAGTCGATACGCCAATCAAGTTACCGTTTTTCGCGTGCACTCGCTCGCGAGCAAACAATTAGCGAACAATCGCTCTCTCGAGAAAGGATTTTATCGAGCTTACAAAACGAAACGAAAAAAAAAGGAAAAAAAATCCGAAGGCGCAGGAGGGAGATAAGTGCGCGCTCCTTTTGTTTGTCGGGGATTATACCGTTGCCTTTTCCACGATTTTTCGCCTCTTTTTGTCCGCAGAGCGGCGCGTTCGACTCGAGGGGAATGCACAAGAGCGTGCGCCACGGGGAAAAGCGTGGGTGTTACTCTCGCGTACGGGACGGAGTAGCCGAATCGAGAGACGAAGCTTTCCGTCGTCGCAGGCAGATAGAAAATCCAGCTGCCGGCGCAGAAGTGCAGACGTATCTCGTGCGAAAGCCAGGCACGTTGAACGTAGGCACCCACCCACGCGCGAAAAATCGCGCGCCCACGCTCGCTGTGTCGTCCTCCCTTTCTTTTGCACAACCAAAAACACGTCCTCTCGGGTCTTTTAGCGCGAGTAAACGCTGCTGTTGCTGCTGCTGCTGCGGTGGTTTTAACGAGCGCTGCACGATACTTTAACTCGCTTCTCTTTTACGTCGTGAGGAGAAAAAGGTCGGCGCTTGTGTTTCTCTGTGTATATACACCACCAGGAAGTCGCGTTCTATTTTTTTGCCCTTTACCACCCCAAAGGGATTATCGTTTCCTCCTTCGCTGATTAGGAGAGAGCGAGGATCTTTTCTCTCTAAAGAGAGAAAGAAAGAGGGAGGGAGAGGGGGAGAGTGAAAGATAGGAAGGAGACGGGCTGACGGATGAGATTGTTGCGTTTTAAAGATCCCACCGCCGGACGTTGGATATTGTTCAAATAAAAATAAATAAGAAAATAATGGGGGTTTACGACTTTATATTAGAACGAAGGCGAGAAAAGATTTTGCATTGTGGAATACGTTATTTATCTAGAGGCACACTGCTGGTATACCAAGCAGAGCACATACGAAAATGTCCTTGTCTATTTTTATGCGTCTTACGATTATAACAATAACGTAGCCCTCGTCGCTGGCGAAACGGGCAAAGCGATCGTCGGCAAAATATCGCTCTCGAAATTGATTGTCAGCGCGCCTTTACAGCCACGAAAGATATTCAAACTCTGACGCTCCTCTCTATTATTTTTTACGAGCTCGCGCAGATCCGTCGCCTGTTAAAGGGAAATTCGCCTATAACCTCGCGTTATTAAGTGAAATACGAGCTTTTAACGCGTCGCACCTATAAAAGAATCGCGTCGCGCGAGCGGGAAATGAAAAACAGACCAATCGCCGGCAATCAGCGAAAATTCGCGCGAGCGCGAGGCAATCGCGGACGCGGAGTCGTCAATTTTCGCAGCGATCGGCCTAATCGATCGCTAAATCCCTCGGCGAGGCGACCGAGGCGGAGCGATGTTTTTAGGCTGGCGCCTCCCTCCGCTCCCTGCTTCTCAACCTCACGGCCACGAGCCGCAAATGAGGCGAGCAATTATGCGCGGACGTTTCCAGTTGCCGCGCCTGCATCACTCTCTCTCTCTCTCTCTCTGCTTACGCGTGCGTTTCCCGGGAGTGTTCGCCGCGCGACGTCCGAAATTTCGTCGGACGACCGTTTGCTTCTTCTTTCTCCTTGCTTCGCGTGAGTTTCGCGATTGGAATTTCACTGACGCTTCCGCGCGGCTCGCGCGTCTTTGTCTTTACAATTGATATTAACGCGCTGAAAAACGTGCGAACTGCAGTGAGATTCCACAGATGTTCCACTTGCGTCCGTCATTCGAAGCTGATCTCAAAACGCGACGATTTTATTGATAGCGTTGTTCCACTTTTCTTTCGCTTACCACAGTACAAGGCAAAGCAAGTTCATTTTCATTGTGCACCCAATTAACGACACGTCGATATACGCTCACTTGGCAAGAGGCAACTCTCAGCTCGTGCGGCGTGTCAACTACGAACGTGTAATTCCAAATAAAACCCTGTTATTGATAATTTCACATCACGTTCATAACTTGCAGACGAAAGAGTATTTAATTCCCTCGCCATTAGGCTCGCGAAATTTCATTCGCGTCTTTTAAAAATTATCGTAGATTTCGATAATCCCCCGCGGAATCCGCCTGTAAAACAAATTACGAAGACATCGCGAAATATTATCCGCAACTTCACATTCGCCGCTTTCACAAAAAGGAAAGATCGAGGGAGAAAGAGAGAGAGAGAGAGAGAGAGAGAGAGAGAGAGAGAGAGAGAGAGAGAGAGAAATCAGAAAAGCGGCACTCGTAAAAATAAATTCGTCATGCGAAACAATAAACAAACTCCCTTCGCGGGGCAATTAAAACAGACGACGACAACGTCATTTGGGTGATTCAACGAGATGTCCTTAAAGAATGTCCTCGTAACGATAAAACAAATAGCATCTTTATTTTTGCTTATTATTCTCTTTATGTTTTTTAACGGTTCGGCCGCTTGCTCGAGAATTTATTCGTACGATATCGATGAATCATACGTGGTTGTGTGTAATTATATACGCGCGCCATTAGCGAGATTGACCGTTAATTTCGTTAATGCACGGATAAAATAGGTGTGTGCTGGCCCGTACGAGATATAGACGTTGAGTGCGAAGAAGGTTATTGCTCCTCTTCTTCTTCGTTTTTTTTTTCTTTTTGTTTTTTGCTCTTGGTTTTCGCGTGAATTATGCGAAACTACGTATCGATCCGCGAGTAGCAAAGAAGTTCGCTCTGCTGAAATACAATTCCTTTGTCGAAAATGTTCGTGCAGAATGTGTACACGGCGGCGCGTCCCCTGAACGACGCCAAAGCCCGTTCTGTATTTTTAGCGAATTCTTCGAAGCTTCTGTTCCATCTCCGCATTGTTCTTCGGCGACGGCCACTTACGCCAAGTCGTTTCGTTTGGTCGCAGAGATCCTTTTTAACGGAATGGCAAACACTGGACCGCGAGCGCAATTCTCCCTGCGCGGAACAAGAAAAAGCCCAAATACATTTTTTTTTCAAAAAGTCGCGCGCGCGGTGCACTCTCTCTCTCTAACTCCTGCCGAGAGCAGAAGAAAACGTATTTTTAACGGATCGCCCTGCATTAAGCGATTTACGGGAGTCGCCTCGATTATCCGCAGATGAATAAGTACTCATTTGGCTTTGATTTAGTGGCTTGCTTCTTATTTCGTTTTTTTTTTGTCTTCCCTTCGAGGATTAAGATCTCCGTTCAAGTTTTCTTTTGCTCCCGCGCGATTGCGCCTTCGATCGGATGACATGATACCGACTCGCAACTAAAACTGGTCGGGAGTGAGACAAAGTGGCGTCGTTTTAATTGTCCGCGGGTTCGACCACATTGCATTATAATTCCCGCAACATGTCAAGTCGGATTATACTTTCTTCGTTTAATACTTTACCTACTTGTGTGTGAAATCTGAAATTGAAATATTGCTTCTTTTATTTTCCACCTCGAGGTGTAAGCTTGATATACTTTCGAAAATTATTAAAGATTTAATTTTTTTTTTTTTTTAATGCCACCGTTCGTGTCTCGAAGAAAGTTCCTCAATTTGCTGTATGTTTGAATTAATTTCTCTCAAATAGAGGTAATTTTTCTTAATACAACAAACTAAAAGGATAAATGTTGGAAAGTGTGGCAAACGCTAAAAACTTATGTTTCCCAGTGTAAGTGATAATACTAAAAACAGATGGTGAAATTTCGTTTCATCGAGCAATGGTCCATAATTATGCGTAATTAAAAATTGAATTAACATCAGTTTTCTCACAACAAAGACGCCTAAGTTTTTTTTTTTTTTCAAATCCTTCTCGATCCGCCATTACTCTCACCCACGTAACATTTCCACCGATCAACGCCGCAACAAAAAACGGACCGATCCAGCGCTCGTCTCGCAAGCGGAAACCAACATCACTTTTTTCTCTCCACGTCAAACCACAATAGCTTTAAGGTGTCGATGTAGCCTTGCGAATTCAATCGATACCGCGCTGGAAGCAAAAAAAAAGTTAATCAACCTTGCAACAAAAACACGAGAAAAGGCTTCGCAGTTGTTATGACTCGTCGTCGTCAGACCGGATGCATATAGCGTTGAAAGACACAGTAGCCGGATGTGCGGATCTTTGTGCGGCAGCCCCCCCCCCCTCCTCCGGATGTAAAATAGTTTCGTGAGCGTGCTGCCCTTGTATAAATAGAAGCCCCTCGTGCGCATCGTGACGCATCGAAATGAAAAGCGTTCTCTCTTTTCGTCCTCTCTCTCTCTCTCCCTCTGAATTTGGCCGTATCTATCGAACGAATATCATCACGAATTTGTAATTATTTTCATTGCTTGCAGCCGGCGTAAATGTTAGGATGGACAGTCACATCGGAGGAGGCGGTCAGCGCCTGCCCCCGGACGGGGATGAATTTCCCTTGGCATACCAGGAGTACACGACAACGCTGAGCAACATGGACAGCATCGACGGCACGATGATGAAATCCATCTACACGGAGAAGAGAATGGTCGACGTAGTTAGCGGTTATTACGAGTCGTCGTCCGACTCACCGCCGCCGCTGCCATCGAGTAATCCGCCGGTCCGCAAGTTCTCGGCGAACGGCGATCTCTGGCGACAGGACAACAAGAGCGAGAAGAGCGTGAAGGACAAGATCGCGATGTTCTCGTCGCAGCAGACGATCGGAGCGCCATCGTTCCCGAGCAGAGGTCGATTGTCCAAGCACAAATCGTCGGACGACGTGTTTGCCGAGGAGAAGTCGACGCCCGAGAGGGCTCAAAGTTCCTTCGATCTGAGCAATCAGAAGGCGCCGAGTCTGCCGCAAACGTCGCCACCGCCGACCTCGAGCTTCAACGGTTACAGGCCTACGTATCCCGCGCCTTATATCCCAAGCAAGTCGCCGACGAGCAACGGACTCACCAGAGCCACGAGCTTCTCCGGATCTTACGCCAATCTACCGTCGACCACGAGCGAGTTGTCGGCGATGGCTAACAGTAGCAGTCCACCGACCGTCGCGAGGACAAATTCACTCGCCTCGACTTTCAGACGACCCAGTGACGAGGCGAGGAAGAGTAGTTTGAATCAGCTAATCGAGCAAAGGCGCAAAGGAATTTCGAAACTCAGGGGCTTAGTTATTCCGGAGAAAGATGCTGTGCCCGTCGATCAGCCTATCACCGATCTGCCGGAGATCAAGTCGAGGGATTCTATTCTGGTCAGTCAAGTAAGTCCTTCGATCGAAATGAACGATCACTCCGGCTAAACAGTGAGAGCATTGACCAACGATTCTGCATTGTGTTACAGGTATCCCGAGCAAACATTCAGGACAAATGGGGTTCGCAAAGTTCAATAGCGAGCAACGCAAGCACAGTGAGCTCGTCCCTTCGACCCAACAGCAACAGCAACAGCAACAGCAACAACAACAGCAACAACAACAACAACACCTTCAAAATGCCAGCACCTAAGATTCTCTCCAGTTATTCACCCGCCTTCAAACGTAAAAGTCTGTCGGTCTATTCACCTACGACCACGACGGTCCTTCCATCCAACAACAAACCACCGCAACAGCAGCAACTCGCCAGTCCAGACGCACCCAAGAGTCTCGAAAGCATCTGCAGTCCGACCCGTAGCGATTACAGCTTCGACTTCGTCTCGTCCAGTGCATCACCCGATAATGGTAACCCACCGACGAGCAACAAACCAAAAGGACGCAACGAGTACGCCGACTCGGACAACGACTCTGCTGTTAGCTCATCGCAGAGCAGCATATCGCGTGGGTTCTCACCGGAACCAGCTTCCTATCAACTCATTGTACCAGAAAAAACCAGTGTTTACACTGCCAGGACGCAATTTTTGTCCGAGAGAAGTTTCTTTACGCCGGAGAAGCCGAGCAAACAGCCGCAACTGAAGAGATCGGAATCGACGTCGGAATCGCTGAGAATACTGAAGCCGCAGAGCGTGGAAGCCATTAATCGAAAGAACATACTTGCCAGTGCTCGTTGCCGCAGTGGCAGAGATTTGAATCTTGGCTCGCCGTTGATTCAGAGGAAGTTTTCCGACGAAGAGGAGGACAAAAATGAGTTTGTCGGGATGACCAATGGCAATGGTGAGGCTGCTAAGCCGGAAATCAAAATAGCTTACATAGAAATAACTGAGAATGTCGTCGCGAGTGAAGAGAAGAAGGAAGACGAAGTGCCAAGACTACCGCCCAAAAGGAATGCCGTGCCGAGTGCTAGGAACCAAGTGCCAATTCGTAAGTATCGTCAGGAAGCATTCGCGCGTGAGCTTCGATGCTGATTCATTGCTTTTCGTTTCGATAGCAACGGCGAGATCAATGAAATCCGAATTGATGGAACCATCGAACGACATGAAAAGTTGGATGCGCGCCGAAATGCGAACTCTGACTGCCAACGGTACCAATTCTTATGGCAATCATAAGAAGAATGATTTGGAGACTAACGGCCGTGCGAGCAAGCCAAGTTCACCGACGATTTCAAGGAACGGCGAGGTTGACGCAACCGATACGATCAAACCGAAACCCAGAACCGAGAAGAAGATCATCGTTGAAGAACAAGAGGATCTTCTCACAGTATTAACGACTAGGAGCCGGTCACGGTATGAGTATTTTTTTTTCTAGTCATTTTTATTTAAAAAATGGTTGTTATGTTGAATACATATCGTAGATCTGGCATTCACGTCGAAGAGACAAGCTATGGCAAGTTAAAAAGTCAAATGAGCCTGGAGGATATCCTCGCTATGAATTCGAGTGAATCGCCATCGAAACTACCGCGAAGTCAGAGTGTCATTGAAAAAAACGGCACGAGTCCATTCGCTTCACCGATGAATCGACCGACAACTCTGTCAACGTCAGCGGTAAGAAGATCGAACTCGACGGATTTGTGGGACGAATCGTCGAAAATCGAAATGAACGACGTTGCGAAATCCAAAATCCCAATGCCAAGAAATTTAAATCGACGCAGCTCCAGCGTCACCGACATGAAGAAGGCTTTCGAGAGGAATAACGATGCTAGTCCTCCAAGTGGTACAACATCACCAGGCAGTAGTCAGCCGGTCAGTATAATGAAAAAAAAAAAAAAAAACAGCGTTCCTTTCGTTACATTCTTGTACTATCCTATCGCACGACGACATCATCACCCTACATTAATATCGTATCTCTCATCTGAACAAATTCCACGAACACGCAGGCATCAGCAGCAGTAGCAGCGGCGGTAGCAGCAGGTTCGCACAATCGCTTCCCAAGTCTGGACAGCAGCGTGGACCATGAGCAACGCGGCGGGTTCAGCGTCGAGCAATTCGGAAGTATCAGTTCGTTGGCAAGTAGCACCAGTCTTATATCACAGCAGGAGCTTGCCCAACTGGTCGACGAGGCCAATCTTGAGGAACCCCGAGGTCAGTGAAAGTATTCGCGTTGATGATTCATTCCTTCTTCGTGGCTATTTTTTTTTTCTCTGCCGAGGGAGGGCTCTCTCTCTCTCTCTTTTTCTCTCTCGCGATAATTAATTCAGTGCGCGTTATTTACGAGCGCTTTTAATTTTTCGGCTGAATAGACGTTCTTAGAGTACACGAGACTTTCGGCGCACGTGCGTTATATTTTTGCTGATTTACGCCGAGCGCGATTCTTTTGTTCGATCTTTGCCCTATGCTGTCGCCGTAAATTACGCTAACGTCGGTGTGTTTTTAAGTGTCGTGCGCCGGCAGCGAGCTACAGTCCGCAGCTGGGCCTCCAGGTATATCCCCGAATAATTTTACGCTGAATATTCTCGCGCAGGTGTCCACGACGTGGTGGTGGTACTCCTTCACAAGGACAATCCGACCGGCAGCGTCGGCATAATCCTCGCGGGCGGTGCCGACTGCGAGACGAAGGAGATCACGGTTCATCGCGTATTGTCGCATTCCGTAGCCGACAAGGAGGGCAGCGTGCAGCGAGGCGATCGCATTCTGAGCATCAATGGCCGCAGCATGCGTGGACTGACGCATCGCGAGAGCTTAGCCGTGCTGAAGCAACCGAGACCCGAAGTCGTTCTCGTTGTGTCGAGGGCGAAAGTCGAGGACAGCAAGATGAAGGGGAGAACCGAGAGCGCGGAGACCATTGTCGAAGGTGAGTTTTCATTGAAAGGGCGAGCTGCGCTCGATTTCTTCTTTGGAGTAGTAAGCAGGCGCTTCTTACAGGTCACGAGGTGACGACGACCACGGATAGTAGCAGCACGGCGTGGGGTCCGTCGGTCTCGGTGGCGGTCTACAAGGATGGCGCCGGTCTTGGCTTCAGTCTCGAGGGTGGTCGCGACAGTCCACTTGGCGATCGACCTCTCTTGATCAAGAAGATATTCACTGGTGAGTCGTACCACCCATCCACGTCGCCATACCGATTCCTCTTATGTGCTTCTGAGCGCGATGATATTTATTTAAAAGTTATATGATTCTGTTCGTCTGTTTTCCGCGAGATCGAATGAGCTGGAAATCTGCGACGAAAGTATTGACGGTCTTCAAAATAACCAGCACACGTGTTATTTTTCATCGCTGTGAAAGTAATTAATTGATTTCCATAGCGCAGAAAAGTACACTGCGCATTTGCCTTTTAAGAGAAAAACATCTACAAGAACATTCGAAGAAAAAAATATATGGAGTCTTGCCTAGTTCAACGCGAATTTAAAAATATACTTCTAATAACATTCTAGCTTTCGTGAGGACCGCCAATATATACAAGATAATTTAAACAAAAATCAGGTGAAATGGTTTTTTTTCCGTTTCGAAGCCGACAGACAAAGACAACTCGATAAGCGGAAGTAGTTAGCTTTGGCGCGTATCCGTACGAAAAATCAAATTCACTTTTCGCGTTAACTGTTCGTCATTCTATTGCAGGAGGTGCTGCCGAAAAGACAGGTGCTTTGCGCGCAGGTGACCATTTGCTTGAGGTGAACAAACACGACGTGAGCCGTTTGTCAAGGATCGAGGCTTGGTCACTGATGAAAAAATTGCCCGACGGCGAAGTGAACCTCCTAGTCAGGCATCCCGCTACCAAGCCGTCGTGAACGAAAAATAATTTATAATACCAACTCGATCCCTCGACAATTCTCCTTCTTACTCTCTTTGTATACGTTAATACAATAATTTTTACGAAGTAGTAGTCAAGAGATGATTCGCCGCCTCCAAGTGTGCCTTTTTTTACTTTTCGTTTAATTTTACTATTATATATGTATTTACTATATATGTATCTTCTTTCTCCGCCATAGTAAGAGTTAAATATATATATATATATATATATATATATATGTATATGTACATATATATATATACATATATACATACAAAAGTGCTGGTAGTGCAATATTTAAAAACGACGATAACGCGCTTCGTCTAGGAACAACAGAATGATTGACACAGATAGTTTCATCTTCGTCAACGAATTTAAGTATACTTGTACCCTCGCAGATTTTGAAGACCACTGCTGCATTGCTTTGTCGCGCGAAAAAGCTTCTTTGTACAGATCATGATAGAAAGATACGTGGAAAACTCCGAATACCTGAATTCGATTTATAGTAGATTGACATTTTTTCCTTTTATTCTTTGTAAGATATTCAAGAGAATGCTATGTATAAATAAACGTTTAATTTATGTATCATACACCTTATAACTGTAATTTGAGAAAAATATTTCTTCCTTTTTTTTCAAATAATTTTATATATAGAGATGCATGTGGTCGGCACTGTTATTTATATGGAGGAAATAGGTATGTGGGATCAAATAATTTCGACATAAGCATGTTAATAGAAACGATCTGGAAACGTCAAATTGTTATATATTTATTTTACAAAAATAAAGACTAATTGAAATTATTTGGAAGAATTTTTGAATAGAAACATCTCGGTGCCTAAAAATGAATGTATTTGTATGATAATACTTAAGCTCGCATTTAAATTTTGTACAATAAACGAGATCATCAATTACATTTTATTCATCTTACTCCAATTAATACGTGCCTCTAAATACAAAAGACAAAAACAAATACACCACAACCAGTAATTCAAACATGCTCTAGAACGAGCAATGTCTTATTGTACATAATAGATTACGTAATAAAATGACATGTACGATAAAGAGAATGAATGTAGAGAAAGTATGGGTATGCTATGTAAACAATGTACCTTGGTGTTTGTAAAAGCAACAAAAAAAAATTGAAAAAAATAAAAAGACATTGAGACATAGTTAATATAAAGATGTTGATAGTATTAGAAATTATATTTTTATTCGATTATTTAAATTTAAAATGTTTAACTTTCTTTCCAAGGTGTGCGGATAATTAGGCACGGTTTTATTATACACAGTAACATAGTATATAAAAATTGATACACACTGATTCGTGCCATGTTATTGTGCACAATAGTTTATGTACAATAAAACCGTTTATAATTATCCGCAAGCTCTTTTTACTCCGCTTGTTTTGTTGAAAATCGTGCTGTGATAAGCGTGTATGAGTTACAAATATCTTTGGAAGCGACGTTTAAAGACAGTTTCACTGTTCAACCTTTGAAATAACCAGTTAGTTGATTTATTTTATGAACTAACAATAATTTTTAAGGTAAGATTCATATTATACATAAACTATTAGTATTCAGCTCAATGATAAGCTGTTATGCTTTTCCTTTAAACTAATTGTTTTCTATGTGTTGTTGATTTGTAAAACAAGGTACTTTTTAATGTAGCCTCTGGTAATAATAAATAATAATGTATTCATATCTATTTGTATTAGAAGTAAAACATTAACATATACTTTTTCCATTAAGTAGGATATGACCTTTGTCAAAATAAATCATAACTTTGTGAAAGCATCAACTTATTTCAATATTGTTGACTTTAGTATTCATAAACAATGTTTTTTTATTCAATAATAATTATATATCTACAAAACTTAATATGCACTTTGAAATGCTTCGATTATCTATTAATACCAGTAGGTTGGTTTTTGAATCCTATCTTCTTTGATTCCCATTTTCTCCATAATTTCCATTTCAAAAGTCTTCAAGCTTGGCTGCATGAAAAAATGTAAAGATATATAATATCCTCAAATTATTAAATGGAAGCTTACCTTAAATGTAATTTGTTCAACTTGATTCTTTTGAGTATCTTTATCTCCTTCAGGATAAGTTTGAGGTGTTTTATAATTTGCAGTTTCATTATGAGAAGGAGGTATAGGAATAATTCTGCCTGTCCTCATTGATACTCGAACTTTTTCGCCATCTTCTGTAAATCGCCATTCAATGTCTGTTGATTGTCTGAAAAATATGGTTAAGAGAGTGACAGAATTAAATTAATTGAAAAACCATTGTAACAAGTTTAGTATTTGAAGTTTCCATCAAACACTTTAGCTAATCATCTCTCAACATGTGTGTGTATGTGTTAATGTAAAATCATTATTTCAAGATTCATTTAATTAATCTCAATTTGCATACTTACAAATCTGTAGGATCCACATGTTTAATATCTTCTGTAACTAACAGTGGCATTTCCTGGAGTATTGGCATACCTGGATAATCTTTTGTTTTACCTATAAATTTGAGCACAGTATTCAATCCTTCAACGATAACCCAGTTTCTTTCTTGATAAATGGTTTTGATAATTCCTTGCTTTCCTTTATCTGGACCTACTAGAATTTCAACCTGCAATCAATTTTTAAAAAATCATTAATACTACATATTTTTAAAAACTATTATTTAACATTTTATTGTTATATACTCTGTCTCCTCTAAACCATGACCATTCTAAAATTGGTTCTACATGATGAAAGGGCAATGCATCATGTGGATTTTCAAGACGGAATTCATTAGTCCAAGGACGGGATAGATTGAAAGCAAATTTCTTTTTCTGTTGTGTTATCGGAAGGTATTTTGGCCAACCAGGTGTTTTCCAATAAATCTGTAAACAAATTACAAAATCGTATGTGCTTTATATAAAGTTGATGAATCATTCATAAACTAGAAATTTTTAATAAAAATGAATTGCTCGGTTCAAATTACTTAAAAAACAGAAAGCTAAAAGAAATATCTAAGAAATTGATAATATAACTGACAATTTAAATGTTCAACATAAATTATTATTAATACATGAATAAAAACATACCCTTTCCATTTTTCGTTTGATAAATCTGTCTGGTAGATTAGCATATTTCTTCGAATGCTCACCAATAAGCGACAAAACATTAAACTGTCTTGGCATCTTCGTACGATTACTTTCAATTCAATCCAAAAATGCAACAACTTTATCAACGAATTATCATTATAACCTAAACGTTTAAAATTTTATCCATTCTCAGATTTCCACGAATAGAAACTTTTCACGATTATAACACAGCGACATCTATACCAGAAGCTTTAATTTGGATGATCATGTGATCGCCTCGCGACGTTGCCAAAATTTTCAAAAACGTTGTAATTGCTTCAATCAACATTGCATGGTACACTTATTAATAGAACGATTCTCAAACCAAATATCATTTAAAACCACTTAGAAAAATTTGTGATATAAAAATCAAGGGTAAAGGAACCATCTAAATCAAGATTTATCGACCGTTGTCGCAGTTGCGATTTGATGTAACGGAAACGCAACAAGTCTCTGCGGTATCGGCAACAATGAACGTACGCGAGACGCCGACGCGCATCGTCTATCCTTATCACTCCAATGTTTTTAAATAGCAAACCGACTGCGACAGAGAAACGCCGTGTAATCGCCATATTGATAGACCTCGCCATTGTGCCTTCAGCCAAGGCGTCGTACGTAGGCTACTGCGGAGCTCGTTTTGGTCGCACGAGGAAAAATGTCGGAGAAAGAGCTGGAGAAACGCCGGGCCGAGGAGTATGAGATGCAATTGTTTGGCTTGCACTCGAGAACTGTTTTTGCTGCCAGTAGGTTCCACAGTCAAAGTGTTGATAGTTGCTCGTTTATTTTTTCTCAATACATGTACACATATAAGCCCTTTGTCTCGGGCGCCGAGCGAGTGTGCTCTGGTTTCATGTAATGGATTTTAGAGTCATGACTAGAGTTCACACTCGTCCAGTGTCTGGGACTTCTCCAGCAGCTCTACACCCTTTGTGCATGACTTATTATGTTGACTTTTTGTTTTTTTATTTTGCCTTTATTTTCAGCTTTGTTTTCATATGGATGTGCATTTATTTATATTATTTGTAAGATATTTTCCCAATGTTTATATGATTTTTAATAAAATCTAAAGTTATTTTAATTTTTGTCTTATTTTTTCCAAACACCTTATCTCATTATTTATTATTGGTAGTTTCATTACTTTCTGTTATTACAAATAATATATTTAAATCGTACATAGCTTTAAATGATGCATTTGTGTTAGTTGAGTCTTATATTTCAATTCCAACATTTTAGTTTTAAATTAACATCAGTTTAGAATGTTTAAATTTTTAAATAAAATTATAGACCAAGAGTACAAGTGTTATTAGAATATTCTAGGAACTTTTAAGTAATGTAATTCATTAAAAACTAAATTCAATAAGTAATTATAACTTTAAAAAGATTCATTTTTAAGTAACATACATGTATCTGGGAAATTTATGACAGATAATTCAAAATACTTTTAAGGTCATAGCACAGCTACATACTGATTTAATATGGTTTTCCACAGTTGAACAGAAGATAAATCAAAATATAGATTTAAGATGCAAGCAAATGTTTATTTCAATTGACAAGAAGTACAATCCTGATGTCTTGGCAAAAGAAAACTTGAGAAAAAATATTAAACTATTAAGAAAAACATACAGGGAAAACACAAAACCACATTTGAAAACTATAGAGGTAATTTTTTTCTTTATCCTGATTTTCATAAAAGGAAAATTATCTAAATAACTTACAAAATACAAATTTTCAGAAAATTGTAAACAAATTCATCTGCATACCAAGCAATGTTTTGTTGGATGAGGATAAACTCCAAGCGACTCAATATACCGATGAAGAATTCTACATGTTAGATGTTAGATTAAAAAATTTACAACAGTATGCCAAACGTGTAAGCATTTAGTAATTTTAAATTATTTTAATACTACCTAGTTTTCTAAGGCTTTGAAATCTGAAATAATTTTATTAAGACAAATACAATTTGCATAGTTTTATAGTATTTTTCTAAAATGTGTCTAATTTTTTACATTTTATCTCATTATAGGTAACTGTCTTCAATACAGCTTTGAAACAAGAATATGAAATAACGGATAAAATAAGAGAATCTGAAGAATTAGCTAAAAAATTATGTGAAATTACAGACAAAGCTCTCTTAGCTAAAAAAATTAACAATAAGTCTTTAAGAGCCATTGAAAAGTGTAAAGGTCTACAAGAATCTCTAGATTCTATAAAACCACAAGTTAAACGAGATATTTATAATCCTAGGATAAACGAAAGAGATCTTGAACAAATAATTATTGATTAGTAATTTTGATTTTAATTCAATTTTTTCAAAATATTTCACATAATTTAAAAGAAAAAAAATTGTTACTAAATTCTAGTAATTTACTTCAATTTATTTCATTATAACAGTATTGTAAATGTATAATTATTATAAACATGTATTTAATACACAGGCCAGAGACTTGTTAAGCTGACTTATTGTAAATATTTATTACATATATATAAGCATTTTTTAATATCAGAAATATCTATTTTTACAAAAACTTTATAATAAAATTTAAACAATTTAATTTTTGGTGGTTATTATTTATTGTATTTCAATTATTCCTGAAAAAATAGTAAATTCTTATTTAATGATTTTATATTTCATCTCATAATGATTATTCTACAATGTATATTACAATATTATATAAAATTTTATGTTTGTTACTGCTTTGAACAAATTTTAACAATTAATTACCTCTTACAACTTTCGACGCATTGTGGTAATACATCACTTTAATTACATAAAAAATTAAATAACTAAATTTAATGTTTCTTATTTTATTATATACTTTCTTAAATTCTTTCAAATTTACAAATAATTGTGAAATTACAAAATTTTCGTACCTTTTTCTTTCGCGCTAAAAATCGTTTAGTTATACTATAGCGCCACTGGCGGTGCGTTGCGTTGCGATCGCCGATCTTCGTTTTCAAACTTATCGTCTTTCGAGGAGTTCGGCAAAAGAATGGGATTTCTTTGAATCGTCGCGAGCCTTGTACTAGAGTGGCAACAATCGTCTTCACATTACAGAAAGTTCGAAACTTCAAAGAAATTAACAGTACTGATACAAACAAGTCTAAATATTTGAAGATCGGTAAAGCTGATTACTCTTGGTGATTTTATATTGTATGAATCGTGGAGACTGCTTATTTTTAATCGTTTATATTGGATATATTCGTATTGACGTTTTGTTTTGCCAAAGAGTGGCCACCTGCAGTTTTTAAATTGTTAAATTCTTTAACTTGTGGTGATTTCAATTTTTTTATATATTCAGGTTAGTAACATTGTTCTTTTGTTCCATTTACTCGGCATGGTGAGTTGCAATAATCGAAGCGACTTTGTATCTATCAGTATTCATTTGTTTTCGATGAAGTAGAAATAAGTTAAAAACGTATGATAAAATTTGTGGAAATGAAAAATCGAAATAGCGAGATAGCGTTGTGGGAAAATTTATTATTAATTAACTATAATATTTTTTATTGATAAAACACATGGATTTTTCAATTACCACTGAATATTAGAAAAATCATTCTTATTAGCTCAGAGAACAAAAGATTTTATTTCTTATATCTTTCAAATGTTAAATATATGTTTATGATAACTTAGACAAAATCAGCAGCAAAGTAAGTTAATATGTCTGGGTATCGCGATTTGCGTCGAGGAAGTGTTGACACACAAGCAAGCAGTACATCGGATGGATCTATTTCCACTGTCTCAAGTGAATGTAAAGTAACCGCACGACTTTTGGATCTTATGCACAAGACTCAGTATGAATTGGTACAAGAAAATGGTCAAAGACGATTGACAGCACCAGAACTTACAGTAGAACAAAGAGAACGTATAAAGGGTGCTGAAGTTTTTTTGGGTAGACTACCTCGTGATTGTTATGAAGATGAATTAATGCCAGTTTTAGAGCGAGTTGGCCGTTTATTGGAACTTAGACTAATGTTAGATTTCTCTGGAACTACTCGTGGCTATGCATTTGCATTATTTGAGGATGCTAAAACTGCACGAAGAGCTTGCACGGTATGACATTTTCAACTGAGATTTATTCAATGTATAACAGTTATTTAATTATTAAAATTGTTCTCATTATGGTTTTTGTTTCTTTTACAGATGCTTGATGGTTATAAAATCAGACCAGGGCATAAAATTGGCGCTGTAAGATCAGTTGACAATTGCAGACTATTTTTTGGTGGTGTACCAAAAAATAAAACTAAAGAAGAGTTTTTAGAAGAATTAAGCAAGCTAATGGATGGTATTGTTGACATTTACCTATATCCAAATGCTCAAGATAAGACTCTCAATAGAGGTAATTTATTGAATAAATTAATTTTTAATTTTCGAACAAAGTTTTCTAATGGAAGAAATAGTGTGAATGCAAAGTAACATACAACAACAGCATATTAATATATTTGTTAATAATTGTATATATTATAAAATACTGTCTATTATTTACAGGTTTCATCTTCGTTGAGTTCAAGGACCACAGATCTGCAGCAATGGCTCGTCGTAAGCTTATTCCTGGACGAGTTCAATTATGGGACCATGAAGTGGCAGTTGACTGGGCTGATCCTGAACCAGGAGAACCTGTTGATGAAGAAATAATGAAAAATGTTTTGATTTAATTTTTACTGTAAAATTCGAACATTCAAAATTACACTTAATATTAATAAAATACTAATTAAATTTTTTAGGTAACAGCTCTGTTTGTAAGAAATCTTACAATTGATATATCACAGCAGAAAATAAGAGAAATTTTCCAGCGAGAAACTAATATTCCAATCTTGAAATTAAAAAAAATAAATCATTTTGCATTTGTTCACTATGAAACACGTCAGTTAGCAGAAGCATCAATGCAAATTATGACCCGTAAGTATATCAAATATTTATTTAACTGATATTTTTCATAAATTTGTGATAACTATTCACTACATATATAAACTTGAAATTAGGTCCTGGTGGAGTGGCTAGTATGGAAAAATGGGAAATCTGCTGGGCCAAACCAATTGGTCCCATTAAACAGGCCGAAAGACAGAGATGTATCAATGAGGCTATCTCACAATCTAAAAATAGGGATGTTAGAACAAAACGGCCAGGAGCAAGGAAACAATATCTTTATAATGACCAAATAGAACACCAAATAGAAGATCAAATACTAGAAAACAAGCAGGACAATCTTGATATGTATTGTGTAGCAATTTTAATTGATTTTGTTTCAAAAACACTGCAGGCAGAGTGTTCTTTTCAATGCTTACCAAGTCAAAATCCAACTGGATGGTTTCACAAGGTATGTTTCTAATATTATGAACTAATCTCTGAAATGAAAATAGTTCTAGCAAAATATTTTTCAGATAACTATATTCAAAGCCAATGCTATAATATTTGAAGGATATGGTACAGTTCAACCAACTAAACAATTATCTTTAGATGCAGCAGTTTCAACAGTCTATCACGAATTAACTTCTGCTTATAATCAAAATGTTTATAGTGGTTAGTATTAGTTATTGATTTAAAAACAAATAAGTATATTCATTCAATGAGAAACAATATTCTAATTGGCAAATGAACGTTTTCAGGCACGTTTCCTCCTCTTACAGTTGATCATTTATCTGCACAAATGATGCAAGTTAATATTAGTAATACTATACCAAGTTTACAATATAAAAATAACATTTTGTAGAATTTATAAATGGCACAAAAAGAAAAACAAATATCCATATTGAAAATTTTAATACTCAGAATATATTTGATCACTTAAAAATCGACATTAAATAATAACTACTATATAAGGTAATACAATTGGCAATGTCGAGACTCATTACAATGTTCATGAGAAATTTATTACAATTTTTGTTGAATTTAATTAACTTGACATTAAATAATTTTATGATTTTTAGAATTAATACTATAGTTAGATTGCTAATTATTTAACATTTTTTGATCAATTAAAAGATAATTTCATTAAATAAAAATTAAATGTATTAATTCAATATTTGAGAAAAATTTATATCGATACACTGAATATATAATTGAATTCGTTTCAATAAATTTTTTTGCAATCAACGATGCATTGAGAGAGTATTTTTCAAAAAAAATGCAAATATAGTTTTGGTTATTGTATTATGTGTACAATTCACAATTAAATTATAATAATAGAGACAGAAATAACAAGAATTTTAAAAAAATATACATTTAATATTGCTAGCATGATGATATTGTAAAATTCTACACTATATTATATATATACTCTCGTTGATGTCTCTACATTGCCAAATTTTTCATGTTGAATCGATCAATTATAAAAAAACTAACATAAAATAATCGATTAAAAATCATAATGGCGAACGAATATATATATATATATATATATATATATATTAGGCACATAAAATTGAGTATGTGCAGATTGATTATAAATCATAAAAAAAGTTTACTATGGAAAGAATAAGTCTTAAGTAACTAAGTTACAAAAATTGGAAATACCACAACCTGCTTTGAATTGAAAAGTTATTTGCTATTAAGAAAAGTAGCACGTTTTTAAAAATTTTACAGAAAAGTTTACAATTTTTAACGTCCAACAATTTTTTAATACATATTTACATTAATTTTAAAGCACTGTTTTGTTGTCAAAACCAATACCATTAAAATTACTTTTATTGTGACTTTTGGATGTTTTTTATATGTATACATTAAAAAAGTGCTTAATCACTTTTTTCTCTTGTAGTTAGGGTTTTTGAGAAACAAATTTTAGATTTCAAAAAATGGTTGACTACTCATACTTTCGAGATTGTATAGTCACAACTAGATCATTGACAAAGATAAGACTTTTAGTTTAGGAAAAAGTTTCTACTTTAAGTAGTTAAAAAAATTGTTGGTAAAATTATGGCGGTTGATAGAATAGTAATTGTTTTGTATCAATAAAATGTATTCTTAAAAAAATATGAGTTGTTTTCTTTTAATTTTAACGTATGTCAGTAGTTTATTTATTGCATTTATTTTTTAACAGGATATTAAGTGTATAATATAATTAACAATATTTTAATGTTTTCGAATGCTATTGTCAAATATGCATATCAGATACTGAACTTACAGTAGGTAAATATAAAATTCTCAGTGCAGGAAGCTTATCTGAAGATTACTTCTGCTACAGTCTGCAGTTATTTTCAAATGTTAGGGTGGGGATGCCTTTGTCTAATTATTAGTGTTGACATTAGTCTATACATTTGCACCGAAGGGCCGTTCATAATTCAGTATTATTGTGGTTCTCTTAGACAGTGGTGAAATGAGTGTATTTTGTTAGAGTTTCTTTGACAGTTCAAAAATGAAGTTTGAATCGGTTTTGCTCTTTGTCAAGACTGCAATTATTATTTGTAAGTTGTTTTAATTTTATTCACAATTGTGTATATTTCTAACTGACATGCTTTAATGCATAAATTGATTGCTATCTTTTGATACAGTCAAAGGATACAGAGGTGAAGAGTTTATTTACTGCGAATCTTACAATGCGGCTACTTGCGACAAATCAAACAAGAAAGATTGTTTCACGCAAGAAAAATGTGGATCGATTACGTCGGATCAACATAATCATTGTTTTACTCTTTGGGAATATAATTTTGGTACAGATATTTCGGAGGTGCAGATGAAGGTAATTTATCACTCAAGACGGTGACGTATTTCTTAAAAATGTTCTAAATTAAATCCCTTTTACATCTTTTCAGGGTTGTTTTTTGAACAATAAAGATTGTTACGAGAAATCTCATTGCGTCGTGAAAAATAAAGAAAGTACTAAGCAGCTTTATTTTTGCTGCTGCAACGGCCAGATGTGTAATAAAAATATTACTTATACCAATATGATAATTAAAAAGCAAGATACAATTTCTATCAACGGTATGAGCGTAATTTCTTTGTTTGTATTTCTATATAAAAGTCATTCGTCGGTGAATTTAATATTTTTAACTAGTCCATAATTATCGTTTTTCAGATAAAAAAAAGATAATTAAAGTTTTCTTGACAGAGAGCCAATTTCAAATTCTCGTACCAATGCTGGCCACTTTATTCTTTTTAATCGTAGTTGTTATCGTTATCAGTTGTTTACTCTATCAGCGAAGTAAATTGGATAAAATCAAGGTATGCATAAGTTATGATTTTCTTAAAGATTTGAAAAAGTTGAGTATATAATACTTTATATGAAGGGCTATCACCGACTTGAAAAATCTCACAGCAGATTGCGCAGTTTTTGCGTATTATTAAAAATTTAATTTAATTTAAAAAAAATAATCTTTTTACTAATAAATATTTCTCCTCCGAAGGTGTCAAAATCAGAGTTCGACCAAAATCAAATTCAGTTGCCAACAATCGTCACACAAGACCCATCCTTACGACAATTAGAACACGAGAACGAGACTTCCGATCAATCTGAAATCAAGCTATCAAATGTTTTGACGATAACTACCAAGTTGATCAAGAAAAAAGCATCGGGACGATTCGGTGCAATTTGGACGGGGCAGCGTAGCAACGGTGAGATAGTTGCAGTAAAAGTATTTTCGCTGTCTGAAAAATATGCATGGCACGCCGAGCTCACAGTTTTCCGTTTACCTGGAATGGATCACGAGAATCTATTGCAATTCATTGGTGCTTGTCATGTCGGAGACTCTCTCAAATCGGAATTCTGGTTGCTTACTGAATACTGCGAGAAAGGATCGCTTTACGATTATTTAAGGGAGAACACTGTCACATGGGAGGAGCTAACTAATATTACACTATGCATTGTGAGGTAAATTTATCTAGGGTTAGACTAATTTTCATTGTTAATCAATTCATCGGCGCCGACGTGTCGGTGGTAATTATGAGGTCGGCTTTTCAATACTTTGGGGCGATTGCTTTTAATAGAGATAAAGATAAGTTTGAGCGAAAGTAAAATATGGTATTTATGGATATTTCACTTATTTGGGATTTTGTTCTATATTTCTTCGGATTTTTTTAAGTGTATTTCCGTGCATTTCTCTGAACGCTCATTTGAAAGCTTATGCTTTCAAGATGTTTCATTATTGATTTAATTAACCCATTAACGCCGATAGGACGTTTTGTCGAGAGCTACGTTTGAATAGTTGCCATGCAATGAATTCGAACAAAAAAATTTAGGAACCATTGTTCTCTACGATTTCGAGGGTGCTCTTATTAATGGTTAAAATTCTTGCAAAAAAAGTTTTACATCGACAGTTTTTTCTCTTAACATTTTTTGATTTATTTAAAACCTCTCTAGATCGCGTTCTCGATATCTGAACTAAAAATAAGGTTTTCCTAACATGAAAATTTTTTGATTAAATGAAATGGCTACCGAAATGAAAAAATTTTTTCTGTAACTTCACAAATTTTTTTTTCTCGAAATCGTAGAGATCAGAGGTTTCTAAATTGTTTTTGTTCGAATTCATTGCCTAAAAACTATTCAAACGTAGTTCTCGAAAAATCGTCTGCGTTAATGGATTAATCGAAGCATAACTGCGAGTAATTGCAAAAAATGAATTTACAGTCGGTTTTGTTTTATGTAAAAAAATTCATCTTGTTTTAACAGAGGTTTGAAACACTTACACGAAGAGCAACGTGATCCTATTGGCAATCATAAACCAGTCGTTGCTCATCGCGACTTCAAATCCAAAAATGTCCTTATAACAGGAAGCAACCCAATACGCGTGTGTATTGGCGATTTCAATATGGCCTTGGTGATCGAAAATGATGGTAGTTGTGTTAGTCGATGTGGGCGAGTAGGCACTCTGCGTTATATGGCCCCAGAGATTCTTGATGGAGCTATCAACTTCACGAAAAATGCCATTCTGTCGATCGATATGTATGCATTTGCACTTGTACTTTGGGAACTTATGTCGAGATGCGTAATCGACGAGGTAATATACTTATTCATATGTGAATTTTCAGTATTAAAATTTAGATTTGCTTTACATAATACCTATTGTTTCTTTTTTCTTTTGCAGAATCCGGTCTCTGATTATCAATTGCCATTTCAAACCGAAGTAGGTTTGATGCCTAAATTATCGGAAATGCAGGACTGTGTTGTATGTAAACGGCTCAGACCTCGAATAAACGAAATTTGGAGCAGCCGTTCAGTAAATATCGAATATTCTTCGTTGTACTTTAAAATAAATTTCATAAAGTCGTGGTATTGTTTTATAAAAATATTTTTATTTATTTTTCAGGATCTTGCTGTCATTCGTAATATTGTCGAAGAGTGTTGGGACCATGACCCTGATGGGCGTATTTCTTCTTCAACAGCGATGGAAAGAATAACTGATTTAATAACAAATAATTTCTAAATTATTTCTTTGATTAAAAATGTTCATGATTTGACTTTGTGCATATACGTATAATAGCGTTAATTCTTGTAAATAGTAGATGCTTCTAATATACATTTCATCAATGATTTTATAATAAATGATAATAATTTAATAAGTAATTCTGTAAAATAATTTTTTATTTATAAAAGAATTTATGTAAATAGTAAAATTAAATATTTTAATTTAGACATAAATTGCTTCAATTAAGATTATCGCTGAATTGAAGAAAATAACATTGAGCTATTTTATCATTTTTAAGTCACTATTATTGTTATTAAATTTTATATTGCATTTTGAATAATGTTATTATAAATGCAAAAAATTTTCCCATTATTACATATTAAATGAAATACATCACGTTATATCTTCGTGTATTTACTCTATTGCGTAAAATTGGAAAGAATGTAGCACAACTTAGTAATAGGTAATCTTACTACAAGTATATAATATGACCCGAGAGAAAGAACCAATGAGGGAGATTTAAAATGAAATAAAAACATACAAGACGGAGACAACGTCCTTGTGTGCAAGAAAAAAAGAAAAAGAAGAGGGAGAGAGAAGCTCACGTCGCGTTATAACATTCTTCTCTCCTCGTGCACGGGGTCTTTTGGAGAAAATACATCTACGTTCAGTCGCGCGGCTACCCGCTAAGTGAGAAGAGGATGTATGAGTTTTCGAGCTCTCATCGTCTATTATATTACTATAAAACGTAGACAGTGTTTTACTTATGTACGTCACGAGTGATCGAACGGATCTTGTGCGAAAACCTAACCTACCGAACAGTACTATACGTAGTTTATTATCAATAATATTTACCGAGAGAAAGAAAACGAGTAACGCAAATCCTAGCGTGTGCGGCGATGTTTATCGATAGCAAATGTGTGATGTGTGAATTTTTAGTTATTATACTCGCCACGATAAAAAGGCTCAAGTGTTGCTGTTTGTCATTGTTACTGTGATATCGAAAGTCATTCCTCTACAACTTTATCTTTTTATTTCCTTCAATTTATAATAGGATATAAAAAGAGAGGTTTTCGACTTTTTGTCGATAGTATTATTTTTTTCGAGGATAGAGTGATATTGATAGACAAACAAACAAGCGAAAAGTTCCAATTTTTTGTAAGGTGAGTTAGATAGAACATCGTGAAAATTTGGATAATCAAGTTAGCTTTCTAATCAAATTGATACTGTGTTGTTTCCATATCTCTAAATAGCACGCTAAGCATGGAAAGATTTTGCATAATCTCGTAAATTCTTTAAAAAAACCTTTAATTTTTTATGAGCTATATAGGCTAAATAAATATATATACCAAAGCTTAACATTTTCTAAATATTTTCAGATTCTGCATAAAGTTTTTAATTATTGAAATGAACAGTGAAGAGTGTAGACTACAAACTTTTCAAGAATGGCCATCAAATACACCTGTCAGTCCAGAGAGACTAGCTAAAGCTGGTTTTTATTACACCGGACAAGCACAAGTAGTTCAGTGCTTTATTTGTGCCACAACACTGACTGAATGGAATTATGGTGATCAAGCCATGGCACGGCATAGACTTGCTAATCCAGAATGTCCATTCGTATTGGATCCAGCTGCTACTTGCAATATTCCTATAATTAACTCCAATGGAACTGCGGCTCTTCCAAATTCTAGTGATAATAATTCCAATCGAAGTATTGCTCAAAGTGCGGATATGAAGATGTATTCTAACAGATTGAGTTCTTTTCATAATTGGCCCATTTCTAATATTATTTCACCTGAAAGATTAGCTAGATCAGGCTTTTATTATCTACAATTGGCAGATATGGTAAATATTTTCATTAATTTATTTATCATGTCAAGTAATGTTCTATAAAGATTAATAATTGAGAAAATACATTTTCATTAAGTATTAATATTTTATTTTGATTCAAGGTTGAGTGTGTTTATTGCCAAGGTGTTATACTAAAATGGGAACCTGGTGATGATCCTGATCGAGAACACAGGATCCACTTTCCTAACTGTGATTTTCATTTGAGACAAGAAACAGATGAAGGTAACAATGTTTTTCATACAGCGTTGGTATATTATCTACGTGTGATCAAAGTGATTGAAAATTTAGAGACCATAGGAGTTGTTAACTATAACAGAAATAGACATATATATATACTTTGCCAGGTTAAAGTCAAAATTTAACACTAACCTTGAAAAAAGAAATGCTCCCTAAGAGCACCTGTGCATTATAGTCAAGCTTATTGATATGAAGCCAAGCTCATTGATGCATTCTAAATATAATCACTTTGGCAATGTCAAGTAGCAAGGCAAATGCTTGTTGCTTGTGTCTGCTCAAATTGCTCAAAGTATCAATGTTTTTCAATTCTCTTGATTAAGTGACACAACTGTTAAGTGCTAAATGGGTTCAGGTAGTCTTAGATATGGGTGCTGAATTATTTTTTATATTTTGTTTTTAAATACAAACTAAATATTCAAGAACTGATTTTGACTTTTGTCTGATGTAATATTTAAGATATTTTTAGTACATCAATTGCTTGAAAGCTGTGAACATATATAAAAATTAAAAGAAAAAACTAATATGCACTGACATTCAGATCTGTCAGCAGAAAAAGTGGAATTTGGTAATGTCAAGTTGATGCCTGGCACAACCTCTAGCTTTGCGGAATTAGGTATTCAACATCACTCAGCACCAAGGCAACCAAAACATGCAACCTATGATGGCAGATTGCGTACTTTTCAAGGATGGCCAAGCAACATACGTCAGACTCCTGAAATGTTAGCTGATGCTGGATTTTATTATGTTGGTGAGTATAAAGCAATTTTATCTTGTATTTGAAACTGACAGTACCTGTCAACAGTTTTATTGATTGCAATATTGCAAATAAAAATTTTATTTATTATTTAACCCAGGTTCTGAAGATCAAGTGAGGTGTTTTCATTGTGATGGTGGTTTGAGAAATTGGGAAGAAACAGATGAAGCTTGGACGGAGCATGCAAAGTGGTTCCCTAAATGTGGATATGTAAATTTGATTAAAGGACAAGATTTTGTAACACAGTGTACCAAAATTAGACCTCCAATAGATCAATCGGTATACAGCTTTTCTTTGTTAGCGTGTTTTTTTAAATTTAATTACATGTAGTTTTTAAACTAATTTATTAAGAAATTATTTGTGACTAATATATAGTGAAGATCATAAAAGAACTATCAAAAAAATGACTTTATGAGTATGAATTTTTGTTTTAAATTAGCATATTCTAGAATAATATTCATGAATGTGTAATTCGTGATCGATATTAATCTGTTGAATTTTTTTTTGTACAACAGTAACGTTTATCACAGTTTAGTAATAAATTATATTCGTGCATCTTTTAGATATTGGATGGTGTTCCTAGTAGCGGTGTGGATAATTCCTTAACACCACCAGTAACTCCTGCAAACTCTCCTCCGCAACGTCAGGCCAGGCGATTAACAGATGCTGAATTAGAAGGACTTCTTGGTACGCCGCCAGCTGTGGTACGGTTTCTTCATGCTTGATAACTTTTATATCAATGTTTTTTTTGTCAATGGATATATACTATGTTTTATTTAATGCGCAGGCTGCATTGGAAATCGGCTTGCATGTCGGTCGCGTTAAAATGGCATTGAAGAGAAGAATGGAGCAGACAGGATTACCATATACCAATGCTGATCAACTGATTGAAGATGCAACTCTAATACAATTGAGAGAAGAAGATAACATTAATATGTAAGATATTATTGAACTGTAAAATATTTTGTCTGAATCATTATTAATTTTTTCTGATTTATTGTTTGTTTCTCTAGGACTAGTAGACAAACGCCTGATTCTCCATCAGCAGAATTGACTCATTTATTGAATCAAATAATCACCACTGCAGAAGCTGCAAGTAGCTCCAGTACTCCAACGGAAATAATGCTTAACAGTGAAAGAAACAATCCTCCTGTACGCAGAAGAAGACGACCGACTCCTTCGGAAGACGAGAAAGATGAAAAAACAGGTATAAATATTTATGAATTATTTTTTATTATTTCTATTTTATTCGTTACTGCGCTGCAGTAGAGGAATAAATAAGCAATGATAACAGTAGTTTTGAAAGAAAAATCAAAATGACAGTTCCTAACATTATCAATTGATATTTGATGCAGCATCCTTGGAGGATGAGAACCGCAGATTACGGGAAGCACGCCAGTGTAAAATTTGCATGGATCGCGAAGTGGCAGTGGTTTTTTTGCCTTGTGGTCATTTATCCACCTGCGTCTTCTGTGCGCCTTCCCTCACGCACTGCCCGATGTGCAGGCACGACATACGTGCTACGGTCCGTACGTTTTTGGCTTAAACCAATAGTCTTTGTAGGTTATTGAGGATATGAAGGTTTGTATCATAGAAAAAACAAAAAAATATCAATTCATTGGTTCTATAAATTTATCTATTATGTTGTCGTTGCAACTTTAAATTACCATAGAACTTGGTTTAAAGGTATTGAATAAGATGCATTGAATTTTTAGACAACTGTATTTTTTGTAGTAAATGACCATACTTTTTCCAATCAAATTTTACATTGATAATAGTGAATTCTATTAATGAATTTTCAATTAGGTCGGAAGCCAAATGCGTTTGCTACAAATTTTATTTTTAAATCAATAGAACTTATTAGCGCAAAAAAATAACAATATGTAAATGAAAAATATTCAAATTTTTCGATGATAGCTGAAAGCTGTTCAAGTTTGCAATTCAATATAGAATATCGAATCGAAAATGTTATTCGAACAAAACTATAAGTAGATAGAAATTAACGCAACATCTCAATTCTTTAATGCATAGTCTAACACTGTTGCAAGGTAAAAATAATTTACAATCTGTTGTTTCAAGAGCTTACAAACAATATTGTATACACATCTTTGATACTGTTTAGAGTATTGTTGCATAGAATATTTACATTAGATAATCGGACAAAGTTACATTCAAGAAGAAAGCAAATAACACAATCTATCTATAGTTTTTTTTTGTTTTTAACATGAAAACAGTAAAAGCGCACAGTGATTTTTCAATACCAATAGTAAAGTTCTTACCATAAAAATTTAAATGGATTGAAGCCAAACGTCAGCTAGACTGAGACCTATAACAATAAGGTAAATTTTAAGAATTCTCTTATAATTTTGTAAAATATGTATTTTTTTACAAGGAATCAGTGTTTCGAGTATCGGTACCAAAATGAACATTCGATATTTTTTTCATACATAATAATTTAAATTGATACATATTACATTGATTTAATTTTTGCAATGTAATAGTAACCAATTTATTTTATTACTTATTATTTAAATTTCTCTAGTTTATTAAGAAACAAAAATAGAACAATCATTATTTTATGTTTGAATGTTGTTCAATGAAGAAAAAGGTAAAAGACAAAAAAACAATTTTATGTCGAGTGCTTGAATGTTCCTGCAACTTGTTCGTATATTTGTAAACCGTTTATGTTTAATGGTATGCGTTCACACGCTTAATCAAAGCAAACGTGATATAAAATGTGACTTCGCAAGGCTCAGGTATTAGTCGAATGAACTTTTTTCTTGCGCTCATTCTATAGAAATGTTGTATACACTTCGAATGTGACGCATCACTGTACAAAAAACAATAATAATTTAACACAGTTGCATATTGTAAAAAAATATAAGGTATTAGCACGTTTCTTCGATAGATATACATATTGAAGAAGAATAATTATAAATATATATCATTACATCGGATTTTCACATCGATGGGTGTAATTTATTTTGGGTAATTATCTATTTACTTTGTTGTTTATATGTAATATGCGTATAGAAAGTAAATGGAGTTATATCAACGTTATGCGTAAATATAATTTATTTGAAATGAAAAAAGTATTTTTATTCGAAACAAAAAAGAACGTTGCTATTTTCTAAGAAATAACATCTATCTAGAATATAATCGCAAGTGTTATCACAGCTGCTTTTACGGTTGACTGGTAATAAAAAACAGACACGTTGTACGGCCAACAAACAACGGGTGAAAAAGGGTGTGCACCTGTTAATGTGCTGCGTTCGTTGTAACCAATGAAACATTCGGAAGGGGTTCCGTGAAATAGCAGGTGCAGCGATCGTGAGAACTTACGTGTTATAAAATTCACTGTAAGCCATCGTTTCTTCAGAATTAAAGTAGCTTGTACGTTAAAGATCGCTTGTTATCGACGTGTATGTCAGCTTTTCGAATTTCGCACTTCTACTCTACAATAGCAAATTTTTTATTTTAAGCGAATTGAAGGCTTCGTGATTTTGACAACGGTTCGAAATTTAAGTTTTTACTGAGTACTCATACTTAATGTTTAAATAAGTATCGGATGCTGTGCAATCAATAAGATTTTCCGTACAATGTTTTTCGTTTTATGAAAAATATTTTTTAAATTCTGACCGATCTAAAACAGTGAGCTACAGAATTACATTATTATAATAATGAAGAGTACTTACAAGCATGATAAAGACAATGGCTAATGCCTTGCCATGTGTCACGAATGATTTATAACTGCTCCGTTTATTCTGTAAGGTGACCTACAGAATACAGATCTGAACATCATGCCTTCTACGCCTTTTCTTTCAATATAATTAGTTCACGCATATTTATCTCATGCACACGATAATTCGATCAAGTTTTCGAAATCACTATTAGAATGACTTCAGACGTGGTAAGAAATCATTAAATCGTAATTAAAATTACTTAAAACCGTTACATTACAACATGTTCAAAAGTGGAATACGCTTTATTAATTTACATCTATTTAACGTGGAAAATTTGGCATAATACGTGTCACGGTTAATTAAAAAATGCAATTACAATCTACGATTTTTATTTTATGTTCGCAAATATGACACATCACGACATTACCGAAATTTGAGAAATTATCGCTGCAAATGTTGATTGTTGTAACTATGCATATTATATTTGAGCAAGAACATAATTTCCCTTGTTGAACTTTTTTGTTTATTTTTTTTTTCATTTTCAGTTATCGCGTCATCGGTATGTCTTACTATACTTCAACAATACCTATTTAGGCACTATAAGCATAGTTTCAAAACAATGAAATTATATAAATGATTCAGAATAATTTATTTTACTAGTAGTGATGTAATTTTGCGATATTTAAAGTTGGTTAAATTTTAGATACGAGTTTGCAGGGTATCATTATTTTAATTAAGTAATGAAGTACAAATTCAACGTATCGCCGAGAAGTTGAGCGGTGATGTCATCCAAAAACTAGAATCATCTTGAATTGCATCACTTTACGTCTCGTCTTACATGCAAGAACTTGACATTCAAAATCGCATGTCATTGATTCATATGCAAAGCACATATTTGCATTCTAGGAATAATTAGAATATTTATATAAATTTGTTCAATAAGCAATTATAACGCTGTTTGCTCAAGAGAGATGTTTATTAACCATCACTGTAAAATTTACTACTAAAAGATATATAATTTGTACAAACGAAATTCTAAAAGCTACATTTCTCAGTTATGGTCTTGCTGAGTCAAAGCGGGAGATATGGTAAACACATGACACACTATGATAGTTTTTATAAATGGGCAATTATAAGAGAATTTTTTAATAGCCAACTTATGCAACTGTAGTAAGATTCCAATCAATATTGCGGATATTAATGATTATGAGTCATTGCAGTTAATATTGCAAAGCTCAATGAAGAAAAAGTATCTTTTTTTTTAAAGAAATATTTTTCATCCTCTTTGATTTGAAATCCGCATCAGAACAGCTTTAAAATTTCAAGTATGTTTGCCAGATGGTATAAAAGTTCTGTTTCCTCTTTCTTTATGATAAACATCTATATATAACTTTTGAATGTGTCGGTATTTCCGGCCTTACCCTCTTTTGATTACAATGAGTCTTGCCTTTTGGAAGTTATGCATGCTAGAGGTAGCTGCGTAGTAGGTTCGAATTGACTGATGAAATTCTTTGGTAGGTAACCGTATTTAATAATACAACAATAAATACTTCAATTAATTAAATATTGGGTAAAAAGAAAACAATTTCATTTCTCTTGATTACCAAGCACCAACTGCTCTCAGCCTCTTTGTCACTTCGAAGCTGATGAGAACTGTCGATTGTTGTTTTGTCTAAAACTTTTCCATATCACCAGGCTTATCAGTGTAATATAGAGTTAAAAAGCACAACCTGATTCAACAAGTTCAACGTTCCTTTCTTTTCGATTTCCTTTCTTTCGGTGGAAAAATGATTCCGACGTTTCGTTTTTTATGTATTTTCTTTAATAAAGGATTCCATTGGTAATAAAATATTGTAATTGTAATATGATGTTTTTTGATTGACTGGTTCATCGTTTCAAGTCGGTTTCCGGGTAAACTGAATATCATTGCGTGTAATTCAATTTACAAATGGTGAGGATAAGGAGTTAACCATCTTTCGTTTTGAAAAAATAGTAGATAGAGAAGAAAGACCGAGAGGCATGCAATTGTTAACAAGTATTACATGACTACAGACAAAATATATAGACTATAAACAAAATACAAGGCCACTTAGGCGTCTCCGAACGAAAGCCCAAGAATTTCGAGTTGTGTAATTGAAATTCTATATAAGAATAATCCAGAATCTATAAAGCTTTGTAAATTGGCTGTGAATGAAGATGTATATGAATTGAATTTCAAAATAATACAAAGATATGGCGCATATGAGATTTCACTGGAAAATAATCATATTCTTGGCACTATATACAGGCGCTTAAACGAATCTTCGGTTCGAACGTCCCTATTTCCTATATACTTCGAACCAAATGTGATGAAACACCATTGTGATCGCGTGATCAATGCCCAATGGGTCGTTCGCCATGTCAAACGATCATAAAAGTATGGAAATAGATGCGTTCCCCTGCAGCAAAAAATGCGCATTACGTTGGAGCTGCGTCGGAAAAACTCGACAGATCGCGCGCGCACGTGCGGGGCAAACAATGAAAGCGCGACGATCGCGCGCTACGTAACTCGCACTTTGCGGGCCGCGCGAAGGGCGCGAAAGCGAAGAAAGGAAAGTTTTTCCAAGCGCGACCCTCGCGACTGCGCCCTTGCGTCGTCCCTCTTTGTCCCTTACGGTGCAACATCGTACTCTACGCACTCTCGAGGTGGAACGCGACGTACAACTCCATTCAAAATGCAAGTCGACGTTTCAAGCCTTATCGACCGCTTCGCCCGTGCGCGCGATGAGTTCTACACGCCGTCTCGCCTATTGTACGACGTAGACGCCGGTCGCGACTGCAGTATTCTTTCGGATAGTTTCCTGCTGTCAGCTTTGAAATCAATGATTTTCACGAGAAGACGAGCTAGCATATGAATTTGTCTGCAAAACTGATTTTCCGTAACTGACAATCCGAACGAATGACCAGAATTTTCGTTTCTCACGTTGCCGAGTTGGAGTTTTAAACGACCGTGCAGGTGCAAAATATTCGTCGCGCAATTTTTAAAATTTCGGTTGACAAAGAACCCGCAGTCACCATAAAAGCGTTTCATAAAGAAGTCGAATTTTATAGCGTTCGATTTACGAACTCTAGCCACAACAGCGTCGTTCGTCAAAAAAAAAAAAGAAAAAAAAAAAACAAAAAAAAAGTCCATACTTCAAATTCTCAGTAAAGCAATAAAATAAAAGTGCGACGAAGGACGTTTTGCAAGAAGCGAGAGCCCTGCCTAAACGTCTTCGATCGATCGGTCAGAGGAAAATTCATCTAGTTCTCTCTCTCTCTCTCTCTCTCTCTCTCTCTCTCTCTCTCTCATACATCCGTACGAGAAAAGCTTCGCGCATCCTCCTGCTATATCCCTTCCAACGGGATCTTGTAACCTCACCGCGCGAGGTGTAACGGTCCTTTTTCTTGCCAAGCTTGGTGTATTTTTACGATCGAAATAGATTTGGAGTTTCTTTTTATTATTTTTGCTTTCATATTTTTTCTTCTATTTTATCATTGTATATATGTATGAAATGGATAAAAACATCATTATTTAAAAAGTAGCACATCTTTTATAATATTTATGCTTTATAAAGTTACGTAATATATTGATACTTAAAATCAGACTTCTGAAAATTCCAAAATGTTGTTTATTGTAGAAATCCTTTTCTTAATACAAAAGTTTGTAAAAAATAAAAAATAATCATTAATCTATATTTTTTTTCTTTTTCACAAAATTATCGTGAAATTTTTATTGAAAATATACTTTAGAAATGACCTGCAATCAACATCAGCTCTGACCTTAATCTAATCCTTTTCTCGATCCCTATATAGACGACGCAGAATCAAAACAAACCCCCTCCATGAAAGAGAAAATTGCAGCGGTAAGGTCGATCCAAGCGTGCGCAGATGTAACTGCACCACTACTGCCGTATCTCTACTACACCCCTCGGTAACTTCCCCTCTCTTTTTTCCGGTCTCCCTTCGCAAGGTTTTGGTAAATAGCCGGCCCTTCCGACAGTTTTCGTGCTGATACCGACGCCATCACACGCATTTCTATTATCTTTTATTCTCCTTTCCAATCCTATCGATTCTAGGAAAGTTCAATGTAATTGGTTGCGCAACTGTACATCCTTTGATGATACAAAAATACCGTGGTATTGTTAGTTATACATGAGTACAAAATTGAGTAACGCGGGATGTAAACAAAAACAGAAGAAACGAGAAAACTGAACGACGCCATCTGCAACCGAGAATAAGAGTCAAAATACAGTCTGGTCGTTTTGATCTGTTTTCCGTAGACGACGACCATCGCGAATGTCATGTGAGGAAGCCCGCAAGGGAGAGAGGCTTTCTTTTTGTTTTTTCGCTCTCACAAAGGGGCAGAGAGTGCGCTAAATTTAAGGTTTCCAGACGTAAAAAACTCAAGCTATTCTTGGCGCCAGGCCAGACTAAAAATCGACCAGTGTGCTTACGACTGCTATATATGTTATAGACGACGTCGCGTGGAAAAATACGTAAGAACATTTTTTTTGTATTATTAGTTTGCCGATAATTTTACTTGTAAATGGCGAACGCACGCCTTTTTGCGTTTGCTCGCCAAATCGATGTAAGCACGCCTTAGAAATTGATTACTATAACGTCAAACGTTCATCAAATGGTCAACTCGGTTAACGCTTACTTTTTATTATTAAACGGACGATACATATAATAGTGCAATAATTCGATGTTGACTACGATGAAAATCGAGGATGGGATAGCTACATATATATACGTGAGCATGGAATATTCGTTCGATGTATCAAGTGCTCGGCTAGAATGCTTCGCTATCGATTTTGACACTGGATATTTATAAAGCCATTTGAATAGTCCATTCAATGCATGGTATCGTGTAGTTTGGCGTTCTTTTCTTCATTTAGCTTGTGCGTGAAATCGACGGGTTTACTGTACGTTTTGAAGGCTGAATCTTGTAAGTGGGACATGTGGGAACACCACTGTCGTCATGGAACATTTTCATATTGTAATTTGGCCTTCTAGTACGTTGCGTTGAGTTCTGTTATCAACTCAATTCGACGAGTAACAAAACAATAAGATTCCAGATCAATGATAATTTCCAAACTAACTTTTTCCATGGGAATAAGCTCGATTTCCTCAACTCCATTTAAACGCAATAAAAAAATTCTTTATTCATTTAACGAACCCCAAGTCAAAAGTATTTTCCACGTAAGAACAAAAAGATAATCCAAGTATAGTGTTCGTTAAATTCTGTTTTCGTAAGCCAAACAACAGCGACAAAAAGAGAACCGAACACATGGGGGCTAACGAGAAACTTCCGGGAGACTCCGTGCCACCATGGGCGACGTATGTAGTCACATACGGGCTGTCTGCAATGAAAATCTTCGTACTTGTATCCGAGCTGTTCGGTGCATCTAAAGAGAAGCCACGGCGCTCTCACGCTAATCGATGAGATAGCGAGAGATGGTAGAAAGCTCATCGGGATAGATGGTCTCTAATCAGAGTGTCTCTCGCCGACGTAATATTTTTCTCGGCTGCCGCTGCGTTAATTGTCATTCGTCGGCGCAGGGCGCCGAGGAGGCGCCTGTCCCTTCGCTGCATCTCGTCGCCTTGTTTTCTCGTTTTACTTTCAAATGCGACTTCGATGCACGCTGCATAATCGTTCGCTCTTACCGTTTCGCGCGGAACTGCGCGGCTCGCCCTTCAGAAATTAAAAATTTCCGCTATGCAAGATTGCTTCGCGAGAGTCTGCGAGGACAAAGGTAAAATGATTAAATGCGCTCAAGGCTTTCGATGATATGACGAAATTTGCTTCTTAACTTTGCCACACTTTCAATAGCACTAGCACTTATAGAATTAGTTTTTATGGGAGGGTGACAGATACCGAATAATACATTTCGCCAGCGCACGAGACATTAAGAAGAAACTTTGTGTTTGGGAGATTCAGGCTAGACGAGAAGCCATAACAACGCGCAAGATAACAGCATCACTGTGTCTGCCGAATAGGTTTATCTGAATTATGTTCGAGTTAGAATATGGGAACGCAGCGTTTTCCATAAATCGCTTTCGAAAACTTAAAACAAGTCCAAATTAGCTACTTCATAAGTAAAAACATCAATGAGCATAGTAAAGGTTCTGAAAATAAATGAAATGCTATCGGAGCTTGCAATAAACAAAAATATTGCAGTGATCTCGTGGACTTTGGAATCTGCGAACTCAAGCTGACAACGACAGTAATTGAAGATGCCTCACTTTGAATGAAGACTTTTGTGTCACTGCTATCTGTGACTCATTCTGCAGTCTCGGATTGTGATTTACCGATTGATAAAGACAATAACCGACGCTCGTCGAAGAGAAACAAATTTTCGTTCATGGCAGTGTTACTTACTCAACTATACACTTTAGCAACTAAAGAATCGTTTGGCATAATGAAGACGTATCTTCGCGACAATCCAGCTACTGAACTACAGTGGAAAGAAGAAAGTGACTTTCAACGTTGTTTACGAACTGTTTGCGCTGATAAGGGACTTGCAACTACGTAATCGGTTATTGAACCGTAATAGATGAGTAAACATTTACGCAATAGGAAAGAAAATGCAAATAATTGTCTGTAATAACGTTCACGGGTAAACCACGTCTTTCGATCGTTTCCACTATGCATTCCGCGACAAAAAATGAACTGGTTATTCCTTGTCGTTCGCCGAAAGCAACTACAACGTCGCCTCGCGAGGATCGTCTAAAACGAGAAGTCGACAGACGCAAGGCAACAATTGTTTCATGATGTACGCACTTCCTTGGCGTCTTTTATACATACAAAGACGCGCCGTGCTGCAGTGTCTTTCTCCTCGCCTTCCTCGCTCATCGGCGGCCATTCACACACTCGTATCGTTTTAAACACGTTCTGGGCCCAAGGCCTCCTCTGCTGAACCCTGCATCCTATAACTCTTCTCTTATCTTGCGAGATATGCGCATAAGGTTATTATGTGCTGAAGCAATTTTTTCATTGTCTTATTTTTTACGCGCGCATTGTTCGCGATGATTCAGCTTTGTTAATTTTGACCGCGAGAGTATTAAATTCGATACTTGTGTTTATAATTGAGTGTGGGCACGGGTCCGAGTCATTCAGTTTTGCCTCTATACGTTTCGCTGTTGAAAAATCGTGCACCAGTTTACTTTGCGAACGGAATGGGACGTGCAATAATTGGCATGAGTGCTACGAAAATGTCAGAGCACAGCCTCTAATTAGACGTTAGACTACCACCGCTCTCTGGGACAACGTTAATGGTAAAATAAACGTGAGTCGTTTCACTCGTGGTCAGCTCACTCAAAAGCGTCGTTAATGTTATCATGCGTTAGCTCGACGAACTTAACGGCGAAACGAACCAATTAAATAGATAAGTACTCGAGAATATAACATCTGCGGTGACGATACCTCGAGAAAAGTCGGACATCTGCTCGAATGTAATGGCAGCTGTTCGCGTACAGCTTGAGTGCGCGTGCACTGGCGTACCTTCGCTCATCGCCACAAGGATACCTCGAGCGTACCTTTCCACGGAGGAAGTGTGCTTATCCAGCTTGTGGCTGGTCCTTTTTCTCTTTTTACTCGCGGCACGCGCCGCCGTCCCCAAGCTGCGTAGGCTGAAAATATTTGTTGGCGTCACGCGCGCAGATTCATCATCGCCGCTTTTACGTTTCGCCCAGCCAAGGCTGCAACTGCCCAAAATCTTTTCGTTTGCGAAGATGGAATTGTCATCGGATTGCTTTTGTTCTGAGGCTCGTTGCTAGACGACTTTTTCTTTTCTCTCTCTCTCTCTCTCTCTCTCTCTCTCTCTCTCTCTCTCTCTCTCTCTCTCTCTCTCTCTCTCTCTCTCTCTCTCTCTCTCTCTCTCTCTCTCTCTCTCTCTCTCTCTCTCTCTCTCTTTGCTGCTCAGTTTGCAAGGTATACTTTTAACTTGTATTTGGAAATTGTAATTTGCTCTGCAAAAAGATATACCGTTTTTACCGTTCTCTTTTTCATTGTTTTACAAAAAAGTCAACCTTTATTTCGAGAGTGTTTTATAAATTGCCACTTAAAAGCTGTATCATTCTTTCATTTCAAGCGAAAATAACCGTTTGGTAAAATTTTATTTGTTCGCATACGCGCGGCAAGCGTTTTATTGTTTTCTTTTTGCGTTATAAACTTTTTTACAGATTCAATCCACTGAAACATTCAAATGTAAATCCGCGTAGAAATGAGCAAATCTGTGCTTTGAAAATTGTATTTTTTTAAATGTGATTTTTCTTTTCATTGTTACTCACTCACATTCGCACACAAATAAATTATGCAAGTGAAATACTCCAATTCTCCTTGAAAGCATCGGCAGTGCAGTTACCAACCTATACCGATCTGAAACGACTATAGTGAATGCACGCACTTTCGACAATTTCAATCGCACCGAGTAGAAATGGATAGTAAGACAAGAAACATACAGCTTAATAACGACATTTGCATGATTCGCATACGTTCCCATAACATAAGTACGAGACTTTTTTCACTTTACGTAATTTCTGAGATTTCGTCCTGGAAATTTCCGGATTCAATGAGTATACAGATCTAAGGGAGTGCGCTACATCTTTGAAACAATTTCCGACCTCGCAAATTCAACCTGCATTTTCAAGCAAAAGCATAACTCCCAACAAGGAAAACAAATGAAAGAAAAATAAAACAGGGCGCAATTAGCAAGTTGGTTAACGCAAAAGCGATTTTTCGGACGTCGAAGTAAGGTAAGAGGATGGTTCTGCGGTGAGCTCATCTCCTTTTCTCGCGGTATGCGTCCCCACCGCGAATGCTGGGCGTCGAGACGCGCGAGTCACAGCGCAAAGACCTCCTTGGCGCTGTACGCCAAGGCAGCGGCGTCCGGATCTCGGCAGCTCTCGCGTACCACTTCTCTGCGCGCTGTTGCCAGCTCGCCGCGTGTATAACTTGTATTACGACGCGGCTCGTAAAGTGTAAAAAAGAAGAAAAAAAAAAAAGATCGGCGATTGTGAAAGTCTCGCGAGAACGTGAGACCCTCTCGCGTGCGTCCGATTGTCCGACGGAGATACGACGAGGCTTTGTTGATAGAGCAACGAGCTCGGGTGCCGCGCGTGGCGCGATCGCGAAAAAAATGAAGAAAATCCACGCAAAATAGAAGCTATACGTCGCGCGAAGGATGAGACGCGCTAACCGAGGTTGACGCTCTGATAAGGCCTTGATACACAGTCATGCCTCGGCTGGCGTCTTTGCCTTCGTCTAGGATGGACGTTGAACTTCGATTGCAGCTCTTTTTCCAGTAAACTTCAACCTCGCTTCCGTACCATTGTGGAGCTGTGCAGAACAGTTGCTTTTGGCTTGCGATTTGCCGATTTTTCGAGAGGTCCCACCAGGACTGCCAAGCTGTTGAATGCGCGCTTGCAGGTGCTCGCAAGTATCAGGGTCTGCGTAGGTGTCGACCAAGTCTCGAGCGCCTTTGACAGTTGGTCC